AGAAATTGCAAAATGTCAATGCTTCTTCTAGCACGAAAACCATTCACTGCAATTGATGACAGCTATGATGCTGCAGCAAACCAGCCCAGTTGCTTGCGTTTTTTACACGCATGGAAATAGCGCATGAACCAAAAATACAATATCACGCAGGTAGGAGAGTAGCCCGTTAGAATCGCATTTAGGAAAGAAGGTTAACGATTTTGACAATAGCCGTTTGTTTACAGTGCTTCGTTGTTTACAATTTGGTGGTGGCTTTTTACAGTAATTTTCTTCATTTTCGCCTGTGACAACATGTTTACGCATAAGGTAAAGAATAATTTAACACAACGGCATGATTTATAGAAGAATTTGCATAATAAAAATGATTATTCATGCGTTCAAAAATTTCGCGGTTTTCTCCGTTCCCTTCATTGTTTACTTCTTACAACAAAGATGGCGTCGAGTTTTCGGCAGCTAGAAAATAACTTTTTTCTTTCTTTCCTTCCCGCGTGATCTTGTGTCTTTCGTTCATGGAAATAGCGCTCGCTAGACGGAGCCATGGTGAAAACAAGGAACCAAAGAATGTCACTTTGAAAATAAATGTGTTCTCGTATTCTTCCAGCAGAATACTCTCAATAGAAAAATTCTGATGAATTTTTATATGTTCCCTCTGAAAGAGAAAAATGTTGGGAAAAGAACGCCAAAGCAAAACTTGCAAATTTCATGAACAGCTCATCGAATTTTTTTTTAAATAAAAAATCACAAATAATAAACCATGACAAGAATATGAATTAAAAGTTTGCCTAAAGCAATTTGCTAAGCAAACGGAAAAAAATTGTTTTTGTATTCTTTCCAAAAATTTTCCTGCAGAAATTAGCGGCTTCTCATCAAAATGAAATGTCAGTTTGGTCTTTGAATTTTCCCAACTTTTCTGAATTTTTCAGTACACGAACAACAAAACCTGACAGTTTTTGAAAGTTATCAAAAACTATAAATACGCGAATACACCTAATAAGCCAAGCATCCTAGACCGTAGTGAAAAGAAAGCTCCAGAATTCACCTCACTCTTTGAAGCTGTCCGCAAAAATTGGTGGCATTATTCAAAAATACAGAAAATGCAACCGAAACTAATTTAAACTGCAAGTCGTGGTAATTTTTGCAAAAAAATAAAAATAAGTTTTGGGGTGCTGAAAGTAAATTAATAAAGGAAATGGTAAACATGTGTTTTAAAAGTGAAAATAACCCTGGTATTCAGTAGTTCAGACTCATTTCAAGTCACTAAATTTGAGACTAGCAACTAATGACTAGCGACTATTTTTGTGATTTGAGATGATTTGGGTATTCAGTAAGAGTCACAAAAAGTTCACTAAAAATGTGTGGTGAAAACAAACACAGACAGTCAATTTCAACTGATGGCATTTATGTATGCCTTTGCTCGCGCCGCTTCAAGCCATGGCCGAGTGGTCAAAGCATTAGACTGCCGCTTGAGAGATGTTCGTGTTCGAGTCCCCCTCAGGCGTAAGGGTTTTTATTTAATTTTTTTCATTCTTTTGGTTAGTTTAATTTTTCTTTAGATTTTTATGTTGCAAAAATAAAAAAAAACAAAAATTTGTTCAATGAATTTGTATGTTATTAAAGCATTTTGGTTTATTTCGTAATGAAATTGTTGTTGAACAATTATTTCTTCACTTCATGTTCACGTTTTTTTTTTTAATAAAATAGAGAGCAATTATATTTTCCTCCATATTTTTCTTTTTGTTACCAACTCAGAGCCAGCTGGAAAATTAGTGACTTTTATTTTTGAGACTAGAGACGTGAGACACCTTCTCGAATACCAAATATTCTCAAAAACCATGTTCACCACGAAAAGTCACTATTAGCGACTAGAGACTGCTTACTGAACCCCAGGGTGAGTGATATTGCTGTGAATAAATGTGCAACAATTAGTATTTGTGCTTAAAGATTTTCTTTGATTTTTATCACTTTCTTTACTTACACATAAAAAACAAGAAAGAAAAAAAACATCAAAAATATAATTGATAAGTTGCTAAACTTGCTCGCTATGAAATTACTAAGTATACTGGACGCTTAATGCTTATTCGATCAGCCGCTTAAACTTTCTTCCACTGAACACACGCAAGCATGGCTGAAGTTCTTCTGCCATAAAACGAATTGTAAAGCGGAAACGGAGTCGAAAAAAGGTAGGAGCAACTACCGGTTCTGAATTTAAGTGTACTTCCGATAATTGTATATAGAAACAAATGCGATTTAATAACGCATTAAAAAGCGAAACAGCTAGGCGCCAAAACTACATTAAGTAAATATCTGGTATAGATAAATCAGTTCCGAACGAAATTTTCTTTAGTGGCATTCCAGTCGTTCATGATGGTCTCCATGACGCACCAAGGTGTTTGCTGTACCGTTCGCGTCGCTGATGAACAAACTCATTCAACCCCCAACCTATTGCAACTTGTTTAGAAAGTGAAAATTGGAAAAAACCCAAATGACATGAGCAAAATAAAGCGAATGAAAATATATAGTCAGAACAAAGCACAACAACGATAAACTGATGGCAAGTAAAATGTACGGACAAGGAAAATGGTGGAAAGTCAAATTGTGTAATTGCAAAGTGCCAGCAATGACAACGTACATATGTATGTATGTATGTATGTATGTATGTATGTATGTATGCATGTACATATGTACAGAATGACAGCGACACAAGATTATCCAGTCAACTAACAGCTAAATAAATACACACACGACGAGTAGCTCGTCCAAAAACGTAAGGAACAAGTGTTGCAAGCGAAGGAGCGAGTTGTGGGTGGGCGATGAGAGTCAACCTAGGTGGGAACGGCGTTGGAACAGGAAACAAATGAACTTTAGGAAGTTTTTGTTTTTGTTCTCCCCGTGTACTGGCACTATGTATATTTTCATTTTCATTCAGGGCAAATCGCGTTTAGTTAAATACAAATGTAAGCGCATACCTACAAATGTACTTAGTTATGTATGTATGTATGTATATATGTAGCATATATTCAAGTGTACATTCCTCCGTATACATATGTATGTATGTATGTATGTACAAACATACATATGTATATATGTATGGACATGGATTCATTGGGTTAAGTAAAAAGGCAGCAAGGCAGGCAGACTGTCAGGCCAGAATATACAGATAAGCGCGTATAGCGCACGGAGAAAAAATATACGCGCAGCACGCAAAATTAAAAAAAAAAATAAAATAAAGGAAAGAGCAAATAATAGAACAATCTTCAAAGTGAAAACAGAAGGAATTTTAATAGTTTAGTCAAATAAACAAGTGGAGCAACTACTTGGCCCATGGCAGTCGAGTCAATCAGTCAGTCAGTTGAACAAATTTAACCTTTTTTAAGTGTTTAACTTCACGGTTTTTGCGATAGCTTCTGAAATTTATGGAAAATTGGAGCAGCGCATAAAAATAGATGAAATACGCGCATAGAAAAGAAATCGACTATATGCACGAATGTGTGTAAGTCATCGGCATATTTGGAAAATTATTATAAAACGAAAAGTGGAAGCACAAAAAAGTACATAAAAAATACAGACAAAATTTTGAAATATTCTAAAAATCGGGTAGTTAACACTTGTACGAACAGCAGAACATCAAATCGACACACACACGAACATATCTACTGACAATCGTATGGAAAGATAAAGAATATTTCAAGTGGATACACTTAAATGGCCAGAATAAGTAAAGTGTTTTGTAAAAGTATTCGAGGAGATAACAGCTTTAAATTTCAATAGAAGAAAATTAGTCTTAAATCATTAGAAAAGTGAAAGTAATAAGTGCATGTGTGAAAACGTATGTACCTAAGCGCTTGGCTGAAGATGGGGTAGGTGAAGGTACGACTAACGGTGCAACGCTGGTCTGGCATCTGACTTAAAACAACTAAATATTAGTGAATGGAATATTGTCAGATGCTGTCTGTGTCATTTGCAAAAAAAAATTCATCACGCAATAGGATCCAGTTGAAAAAAATAAGACTAATCGAAGTATTTATGAAAAATCGCTATCGTTTTCGCCTCACAACCTATGGCATTCCTACGAATACGCCCGTTTGTAATTGCAAAATTTTGCTCGTTGTTCTCAAGTAGTGTAGTCAATCCATTAAAATTAGTGTCCATAATTTATTTTTATAAATTTTATGTGAAAGCAAATGCACGCCAAAAATCATAAAACTTAAACAGTACATCATATTTGACAAAAAAAAATTGCAGTAAAAACAAATCCTTCAATTCGACAAATGGTTGAGGTTGAATATTTCGCAAGCCATTTAAGTGCTATCATCTGTCCCAATAGCATTTTGGCATATGTATGTATGTACATACATACATATTTTATTGCTGTGAGTGATAGAATCACTTGCTCATCAGCGAAACGGACACCTTTACCGCCCTGCGGCTATCTGCCTGCAGCACGGGCAAAATCGAACAAATTCGGCGCTTTTGTCGGCGTCTCTTACTAAATATTCCAGGGGGAATCATCGTGCCCTCATCTTTGAACAAATAAATATGGATGTTTTTTTGTATGTAGGTACATACATACATATGTGCATATGTATGTACGTTTTTATATGCAAACAAAAGTGTGATTAATTCATTAGCAATGAGCAACATCTTTTGAGATACATTTCCATTTCATCATCTTTCTCGAGATCTTTGCGCATATTCATTGTCTGCATTTGCTTTGCCTGCATCTTCGAGAGTATGAGCACCTACATACATACTTCACCTCTTACACCTTGCGGCTTGTGTGCCATTTGGCTTGCCTTAAATTTTCTTTGTGCGTGTTTTCGTTTTAATTTTCGTACGGATTTCCACATTGTATTGTCCATGTGTACAGAAACAAGTAAAGTAATGGTTGAAATAAGCAAAGTAATCGAGAGAGAGAAACATAAAAATCGGAAACTACCGCGAAATTGTGTGGAAAGGAAAATAAAGCTACGATTTTTGCATTTTAATAACTAAAAGAAAAATATTAATAATGCATTGGTTGCATGTTTTAAGATATCAACGGAACAAAAAAGGAAAGAGAACAAATAAAAACGGAAAATGAAAGTGACGTTCCTTAAAAAATTAGGTCGCGTTGTGTGTTGCACAAAAATATCGCATAGAATTAATAATCTATCACGATAGCTACAAAAGTATAACAAGCAGAAAGAAGAAGAAGAACCAGTGAAACAGGTGCAAAAGTGTTAATGATAAATCCAAACCAAGCCAGCTGCACCAACAGGAGTAGAAAAGTATTAAAACCCCCAACCGCAAGCGAGTTTAGAATATTAGGATTAGCTCAATTTTGCATATAGTTTTACCCGCCCTCTCTACTACACGCCCAACCCAACTTGTTTTCCACTCCATATCAATGCAGCCCGCCGCTAGAAAGCAACAGTAAGTGCACGTAGCGCAGAGAACAACACTCAAACCAAAGGACAGTTCTCGATTAGGGCTACGAAGAGGCAGGCGCCCCGTTGCCAAGTACTGCCAGCTAAACAAAAAGAAAAGCAGAAAAAAATGCTTTCAGGCCGCAATGTTGGTAACAAATGATGCACTGAGGCCATAGCGCTGAGCCAAAACAATTGCTTTGCTTATGTGTGTGCAATACTAGCGACGATAAAAGCACACTAGCCCAACCCGCAACCCGCAAACTGCAAGCAGTAAGCTGCCAATACACAGCACAGGGAGGAAAACAGGTGCATGTTTTAAAAGTGACCAACGTTTTTTTTTTTTTTGGGGCGATGAAAAAGCGTTGACCACCACTTATCGCGCAACAAATAACAAGAAAGTGTTGATTTCAGTGCAAAGCAAGTAAATGTATGTATGTACATTAGACTGCATCACCAAAAAAAGTTGCGGTTTTTCCACCGGCATTACAAAATTTATTATATTTTAAGACGTTCACCAAAATATTTGGGAAAAATATTAAGATTTAAGTGAGCTGGAGCGATTTGAAAGAACTTTTTGAAATAAGTCCCCTCAGATGACAAAACAGCTTAAGCTTAAAAAATCTACATAAAAATATTAAAAAATTGTATCAACGGAATCATAATATTTAGATTTTTGAAGCTGTTTTTTAACTTTTTTTAAAGATTTGCTTAAGAAAAACTTGAATAACTGCTCCAAATCTTTACCGATATAGACTTATGAGGTATCAGTGGAAAGGTATTTACTCACCCTTTTTATTTCTGTGCAAAAAAAGCTCATTCAAGTCCCAATTTTTTCTTTATTCAATGCCAACGCATCTTGATTCATCATGGAATGACACTCGTTTATCTTACCTTCCTCTTTCACACTTTGAATGAGCTTATTTGCAAATAAATTAAAAGGGTGAGAAAATACCTTACCAATGATGCCTCATAAGGCTAAATTGGTAAGGTTTTGGCTGACTCATTCAAGTTTTTCTTAAACCAGGGCCTAAACAGCATCAAAAATCCCATTATTACGATTCCGTAGAATTTTTTTATTTTTATTTTTATGCAATCTTTTTAAGCTTAAACAGTTCAGTCATCTGAGGTAATTTTTTCAAAAAAAAAATATTTAAAAAAAAACTGTTTTTATTCATAAAAACCTCTATTTTTAGAGGTATTTTCAAATCGATCCAGCTCACGTAAATCTTAATATTTTTGCGACATATTTTGGTGGAAGTCTTAAAATATAATAGATTTTATAATTCCAATGGAAAACAGTAGGTACCGCTTTTTTTGTATGGGGAGTGTTGCAGTCTAATGTACATGACCGCATAAATATGGCAATTTCTTCTTATGCACAAGCGAGTACAGGTGGAAACAAGTAAATTGATATAGTACAGGGCAGATAAAAGAGTGAACAGTAACACGTTTAAACCTATGGGTGATAAAAGTTTTGTTGATCATCTATTTATTTCAGCAGCCGCTTTGACCGCTTACATATGTATGTATATGTATACATATGTATGACCATATATGCATACATACATAAATACATAAGTACATACGTTCAAGTTATTGAAGCAAAGGTCTGCCCAATAACCCACGACTCGTTCTAAATTAAAAACTACATAGAGAAAAAATGTGTGTTTAAAATATAATTTATAAACAACACAACAAGAAAAACTAGTTGAAAAGGAATTCGCCAGAAAACAAAGTCCAGCACAACAACAACAAAAACATAAGCAACAAAGTAAAAACTTCAAAACGGCAGGCAAATAAACAGCACACATCCCTTCTAATAATCCGCATACACACCACCCACCACTAGCTAACATAGCAAGCAGCCGCCAGCCGCCGCCTGCTGCTAATCGCCAACCGCCAACTAAATTGTCGCCATCACTGTCACCTCGCCGGCGAGTAGTGCAACCACAGCAAATACACAACGAGAAGGGCGGCCATTTACGGTAACTAGGCAAGAAAGTCGACAAAGCTCGACAGCCTATCAACTTTACCAAGCAACCAAACAACCAAGCAACCGACCGGCCGACCGAGCCGCCGAGGGCACAACACAATCATTCAGCTCCAAACTCGGTGACGTACTCTTATGAAAATGAATGCCAGTCTCATTTACGAAATCCTCATGTATTTAAATTCATTCTACTTTGGTATGTACGCCACATTTGAGATTGGTGTCGGTGTCCTCAAGGCAATCGGATTGAATTATACTTCGAATGAGCTAACGCACGAGGGGTGCATATTACTCGCATTGTGCATCGTCGAGACAATACGAATTGTATTAGGTCGGAAGAGCAGTCTAAGCGATCGTGGTATGTAAATAAATGTTTTTCACTTGTTTATTACTTGTCCATTCAAAATACATACTTTCAATGCTATACATACATAAATATTTCCTTTATGTTCCATTTTGTATGATGAGTGGGGTAGGGGGGGTGTGTGACTGCGTACGCATTATTGCTGTTCACATGCCTACACTTTTAGCAAAAACATTGCATCTACCTATTGCACAAACCCTGCAGGAAAAAGTAAATAAAGTATGGGAGTGGTATCCAAGGTCTGAACTATTACTAATTATAATGGAATAAAAGTGTAAAACGACGAAAAAGTATACATAACGCAATTCCTTCCGAGCTCTCTGAATAAGCCTCGCTATCAAACTTTTTTTTATATATAATGAATACTTCTTAAGCATGAGCAGCTTTATATTGTTGAATTCCGAATTAAAAATAGTTACATTGTTCAGCAAAAGCCTATACATAAAGACGTGAGGACTCAAAGGCCTATATATAACAAATTTTGGATGTGTTTATAAATGGCTAGAGGCCCGAGAGATTTATATAAGTATGCTGGAAATTCGAGTACATATGTATTACTAGGTACAAGGTACGACTGACGCTGTAAACCATTTACATACATATTTACTCATTTTCACCTTTAATAGTCTCCCCAATTCCTATAACGCTCCATGCGAATTTTCCATTGTTCGAAATAGTGCTTCAGATAGACTTCAGATAGCACGCCGGTTTCTCTTTCACAGCTTCAACACTGCGTTACAGTAATTGGCTAGAAATATCTTGATAAATACTACGTAACGAGCCGGCGCATTGTCTTGGTGGAGAACCGATTACTATTCTTTCCACAATTTGAGTCGTTTTTTTCTTTCACGGTTTTCACGGTTAAGGTACCTACTCAATCTTAATGACATCTCACAACATATCTGTGCTCTATTGGTACTCTCACATTTTTCGGGCGAAACAAAAATTGAGGATTCTTAAAGCAATCTATAAAAGTTCACAATGTGTACCGAATGTCCTTTATCCATGTTCAATACCAATTTCCTACACAACATACCCATTTTTACGTATTTACGTTGTACTAAAGTTGTGTATTCATGTTGGCGCCAATAAATTTTAATTGTAATGTTTTTAACTATAACATTACAATGCTTATAGTAATGTATTAAGTTCATAATATTAAGGCTGACTCACTTGTAGAGCATAACTAAATATATGAATATGTATGCATGTGTATATATTTACATAAGTATGTAAGTACTTGTATATGTATGTATGGACCAGCATACTTCTTCAAATCGTAGCGAGTGACGGCAGCAGGGAGATTTGTTAAGCGATAAGTATTTGATAGTAACTGGAGCACAGTGGTCCTCAACGGCCTACAATTTACCGTAAGTTTCATTGATAGAAGGTACAATATTTACACAGAAGTATCAACTTCTCAACACTAGTAAATTTGGAATTGTTACTGCAACCGGAAAAAGAGTTATTTTCTGTTTTTCGTTAGATCTACTTCAGGGTCATCTGATCCATCGCTAGAATAATCTTCAGAAAGAATCGTCATGCACATTAAAAAAATAAAAATGTTGGCCCTTATTCAACAACAATTTAACAGGGCTGCAAACCGGTTTCGAACCGAACGGGTTTTCGAACCGAACTGTCGCTTTTTTCGGGCTTCGAACCGAACCACGAACCGAACCGGTTTTATTTTGAAATGCCAAAACCGAACCGAAAACCACTCCAAAAAATGGTTCGGTTCGGTTCAAAAATTAAAATCCACTAAAGCATTTTTCAAGTTCTGTAATACTTGGTCTAAAAATGCATCCCGTATAGTAAAAATGCAAATTTTTTTTTTATTTGATGGCAACCCCGTGAGTTGTAATTTCGTCCATATAGAGAATGCTAGATTTTTTTTTTTATATAGAAGAAAATGCTTAACAATGCTTGTTAAACACAAAATTTATAAAACACGGATTTTTAAAGTTTGGATTAAAAAGTTTGATGCAATTTTGTTGAAATTCGTAGATTTTTTCTAATTTTCGTACAAAGTTTGAAATTTTGATTTAGTTAGCTTGTTGTTATATAGCGAGCTATACTTTTATAAAAAATTAATTAAACCCACAAAAAAAAAATAATCAAATGCCACACTAGTATTATTTTGATCATAAATATACTTGTACATATGAAGTTAAGGCCAAGTTTAAGCTCGAGCCTACCGAAAATGAGGTTTTCAACATTAAGCCAAGATTTTCAGGGTCAATTCGAAATTCAGAGTATGCTGTTTTAATTTACATACTCGACTAGGCTCACCAAACCTTAAAAAGTTTATAAAAATTTTTCTAATTTCACTTTGATCGCGTTGATTTTAAATAATTTTTTTTTTTGTTTTCTTCCATAGAAAATAATTATTCAACAAACATACTTTGTATGGAAGAAAATCCGTGAAAAAATGCTAAAAGTCAACTTAAAACTTAAAACTTTTTTCCTAGAAATTCTTATTAAAAAGTTTGCAATTTAGATGAAATTGTGCAGAATATTCATAGCTTTTGCACAAAGTTTGAAAATTGGGTTTACATGTTTAAAAAAATAAGCATTAAATAAAGAAAAGAAAAATAGCCAATACTTGATAAAATGTCGCGTCCCTATTTTTTCGACCATTCTACATATATACATCTCAATAACAAAACCTTTATTAATTTTAATATTATGGCAATATACTTTAGCATTAAGAAATTGAACCAATTGAATCGAACCGCGGTTCAGGGATGCTCTTGTACCGGTACAAGCCTTTTCTATTTAAGTGGTTCGAACCACTGAACTGAACCGCACACAGATTTTTGGAATGGTTTGCAGCCCTGCAATTTAACAAGAATTTCTCCACGATTTTAAATTACAGTTTATAATAATTCTGCTGAATCGGTCCCTACAACCGATTCTTTCTCTTTATATTTTTTTCTTAAAATCAAGGTCGTGGGAAGTATTTTTCTATATACATATGTACATATTTTCAAACAGTTTTTATTGCTCCGAAACAAAACCAAATAGCTCTGTCGGAAAGCCTTCACAGGAGAGTTTTGTAAATTTATTAAATAATGCAAATGCAATTAATACATATGATTTACATATACATTTAATATGACTGGCGAAAATTGTGTCAACGACAATTTTAAACCCCGACAATGCCAATTTGTCCCTTTTTCAATGGAATTTCTCATGGAATTTAAGAGGTGGTGACAATTGTTTTTATAAAACAAAGTACCCACCAAACTGTCGAATATTAGTCACTGATAACATGGAGAATGCCTGTCTTTACAAAATTATCACTGTCGCTTTATGAAATAGGCCCCTGGTAGAATTTCGTTTCAAGTGCGGTTTTAAAGTATGAATAACAGTTTTCTTTGACATTTCTGTGAAACTTGTGGACCGTTGTGGACCATTGTATGAATGTATGTATGTATGTATGTATGCATGCATGTATGTATAAGGCAACTAAAATGCGAAATGTTTGTTTAAAATAGGCTTGCATATGAGGCATTCCACACTATTTCAATTGGTGAAAAACTACTTTTGACAAAGAGTCAGAGATTTATAAAAGATTTTTAATTTTTTTTTAAGTCAACTTTTCCATACGTTTGTTAATGAACAATTTAGAAAGTAGCTAAAAAAACATGTTTGCAGCTTTTTAAAAATCTGCAAAAAATATATGTAATAGAGTGAATATCAAAGATTTAACTGACAAATTTTTAAAGGGTGTCTCGATATAGGACCTGAGATATTAATTGTTTAGTAAAGCAGTGACTGATAAAAACATTTAAAAAATAAAAAATTTAAATTCAAATTACATCAAAATACGTCAAGTGGGCCACTTACAAACCTTTTCTTTCGGATAACCAAGATAGGTCCGTACTTTGGTAGAGGTCCAGGTAATATTTGTTTGCCTATACTTTATTTTGCAATAATCCTCTTACTTTGCAAAAAATTGCGAATTTAAAATTAAAATAATTATTTCTTTGATTGGCCATATCCCCTGAACGGGCAGAGATAACTTAATCATTTTAGTTTAAATTAAGCGGAAAACTATATTTTCTAAGTTAAGTGTTCCTCCAAAACACGTTTTTGTCGAAAAATGTAAAAACTCGTGAGATTTGCTCATATATTTATTTACATGAAATAGCAACGATGGAAACCAAGAAAATCTGACCAAAAGTCTAAACCCGTAACACGAGTATAAACTTTTTAATTTTATACATTCATAATTATAATCGATAAATGACGCTAAAGTCTAAATATGAAGTTATTTTAGAGTCCAAGGCAAATGTGGTTCATACTCACGTTCATCATACGCACTTCATGCTCATTTTTTATTAAAAATAAACAAAAAAAATCATTAATTGTGATATAATAAGGCCGCTCTTCTGAACATTTCATGTTCATACTATAAAAAAAAACTAAACATATTCATAAAAAATAAAGTAGCTTTAAAAAAGGTTTATAAATTGATTAATGTATGAAAGCGTCAATTTATAAAGCTCTTTAAACCTACTTTCTTTTTTATGAATAAGGCCATACAACTTTTAAGGTATTATAATTATACCTAAGGCTATATTTTGAAAAAAAATAAAATAAAAATAAATTTCAAAAATATTTTCGAATTTTCACAAATTTTGTTTTTAAATTTTCACTTCCGGTGTGGTCTAAGAAAAAATTTTTTTTTTTTTGGAAAATTGATGTCGCATTTTAAAAAGCGAGAAATTTTCTCACAAAATCGGGAAGTTTGAAAAACCTAATTTTAGTTTTACCTATTCTTTGGAAGCCCATAACTCGAAAAGTAACCATCATATAAAAAAAAAATATATGCGCACAATTTCATATTTCACACAGGTACCATTAACCAAAATTTGAAGAAATTCTAAAGCATCACCATTTTTCCCTGTTCGCTTCCGTGTCCGTGTTCATATTATGAACGAAAGTTTCGAACGTTGTACGAAAACCAAGACTACAAAAGTTTTTCGTAGCATTTTTACGAAATTTTATTTTCAGTGTGTGTAACATAAGTATGTATGCATTTCTGTATGCTCCTGCCTGCTGCTCTTAATACACACACACACACATACACATGTATACTTTGCTAGCACACATGCTACGAGTGTAATTTGTATTAAACACATAAAAATAAACTTTATTTTATAATTTCTTTCGCATATAAATATACTAACTTAATAAAAATTCCCATTTTCTTCTCTTTCCAAAGGTTGGCAAGCAACAGCATCCGTAATATTAACACTGCCCAGCCTTGCTCTCGTCATCTACTTATGTTGTTTTCAAACCTACGTTCTCAAACTCGAAATTATTCTGAGTGCCTTAATGATAGCCCTCCAAGGTGCTGAACTAGTGTATGCCGGTGTCTTCATTTGCACCATGTTCGGTGATGTTTCGTATACCTAGCAGTCGATAATAATTTATGTACAACTGATACACTTCAATTCGAATGAATTTCACGTCTTTATTTTCCCAATGAATCAGCGAAAATGTTGATGCCAAAGGTGCCAATGATCGTAAAAATCACGCAAGCAAATACCCTGGTACGGAAGTCAACAACCCGACGAAAACGTAAGCGAAGAAGACGACGTACTCATATACCAACAAAACCGATGATAATGATAGCGATAAGGAAAGCGGAACTCGAAGCAACCGAAAAATGTGGAAAACTCAGTTGGATTCTAGCGAGATGAGACACTGATAAGTACGAGTAATATAGACATACTACTACATACATACATAATAAATGCCTACTATTTAAGAGAACAAAAAGCCAGCATTTTAATGTAAAGGATATCATTTATATGTACAAATGCACCTAGTCGAATGGGGAAAAGATAAAGAAAAGAGCTAAAGTGTCAAGCGGATCGCAAAAAGAGGGAAGAGAAATAGGGAAACGGAAGGTGAGAAACCGACGATAGCTCTGTACATAAATATGTACATATGTATGCAGCACAAAAGGCAAACCAAAACCATCTCAATGTGCAAAGGTCAAAAATTAGCATACATTGGCAGCTCCAAGTTGACGTATGCAAAATTCAAAAATACAATTAATGTAAGTGCTGCTGACACAAAAGATAGCTGCAACACCAAAAAAACCAGAAAATGTGCAATCTATTGTTTCACATACAAAGAAACGCTGTCTTCGAAAGCAGAAACATTTGTCGATTTCAACTTTGCACAATCAGGTGAGTCGCTGTCTGCGCATTTTTAAGCTTCTGCCTTTTGCGAATATTATGTATTTATTTAAACTTTATACCAAACAGACACTTATTGCACTTGATTTCCGCCATTGTTCTATGCACTTTCATCGAAAATTTGCTGCACGGCTCAATTGTTCGAATTTTAAATGTTGTAATTACCGAACGCGACATATCTCGAAACCAAAAATACACAAACTGAATTCTATGATTTGCATTTGTAGGCTAGATTGGCGCTATCTTATGCAGATTCTAAGACTTTCTATGCATTGCTAAATTTGCCTCAATCATATTAAAAATAGCCACCACCGCCACAGCTAGCCACCGCCACTGTGAAAAATTAAAAAAAAAAAAAAATCATACTCAACAAAATCAAAACAAATGCATACTCGTAGAAAGGTAATGAACGTATCGGTGTGTGTGTGTGTGTGTGTGTGTGTGTGTGTGTCTGTTAGTCTAAGGTGTGCAATAATCGTCTTAATTAGGTGCATGGGCAATGGATGCAATCGGCTGCAGCTGTGAATGGCGGAAAATTGTTATAAACTAAAAATTTTATGACTCCATACGCTAAAATGCAGCGTAGATGCACACACCTATACATTAGGGTTGTTAATTTTTCGGCTTTCCGATCCCGTAGTTTTCGGGATGTCGTTATCACAGTCCCGCATTTAGATATTCATTACTTTTCAACTCAAAAAATCGAAAAAATTGCTTTTATTTTGTTTGAGAACCATAAAATAAATCATAACTAAATGAGTTTGAAAGAAGTTTGTAATTTCAAAGTTATGATTTCCAAAAATTATTTAAAAAATTCAATGTAAAAATATGGGTCGGGATCCCGGGATCCCGGGATTAACATTCCTAGTACATATGTATATGTAGTATGTTTATATTTGCTATTTATTTGTATGCATAAAAATGCATTGTTTTGAGAAAAAAAAATCATACATACATAAATATATGTATAGCACAAATGCATGAACAAAAGAATTTAGGCTGAACTTTAGACAATAATTCTTTTTTTGTATTTTCACATGTATGCATGGGTGTGAGTGTACATGAGATTTCCACATAGAGGGTATTCAAAGGTTTCATACTTGAATTTTTAGCGAAACTGCCTGGTTTAAATTAAATACTTTTTCGTCTTCCATTAAAATAATCTACAACATACCTTTGAGAAACTTTTATTCAAAGTTACGAGTTCTTTGAACAGTGTTACTCTAAAGATATTCCGATTCAAAATACGGGGCTTATGTATATCTGGGATTGTAGTTATCAATCAGAGAAACATTCAACCGCTAACAGCTTGCAGTCATAAAAGTTGCAAGGATACGGTGTCCTTGAATTATATAAGAGACCTCTATGTCAGTCTTCCGAGTGTTTTTTTTGTACCATATAACAACATTGAAACGACAACAAATTTAATGTGTTTTAAAAAATGCCATACGGAAACAGACTTAAGTGAGATCTCCACCGAAAGCCATAACGCACAGTGGGACGTCCCTATATAAGCTGCGGTCGAAAGTAGTAACCGTACTACAAATTCGCTGAAATTTCGTTTATGTGATATTCTGCACTTAGGAATGAGGAATTGTGGAGAATGGTAAAAGTCGACTCTACGCCTACAGCTCTTGTCTGTGAAAATGGTAAACGTTATCCAATTTTAAGGAAAGTCCGAGTATATTCTGGTTTTAACCAGAAAAGCATAAATCTGAATCGGTTTTTGTTATCGTCCACCAATTCTAGAAATATTGGCACAAATTAAAAAAAAAAACATATTTTTTGATGAAATTTGAAATTAACTTATGGCGATTTAAATTAGTCCTGAACTAGTCGTGAACAGGCTTCGAATTGGTTCTAAACTAGTCCCGAAATGGGCTTGAAATATCCCAGACCTAGTCCAGAAATGTTCATTTGTACACACCAGACGCGCAATTACAGGTTTCTGCTGGGTTACACAAGAAGTAGTCACAAATTTTCTGCTGGGTTAACGCAAATTTCACCCACACCGAGAGCTAAGATGTTTGTTTACCCATCAAAAACCATTGAGGAAAATATCGATCTCAAACTCAAATTTAGTGTATCAGTCAAGTCTTTCAATTCATCCCATCCGGACCGGATTGCAGCAGTGACTATGCTTGACTTTGGGACAAATGCACGTGACTGTAGGGTAAATGAACGTCCTTGATGACGTTCCTTACAAAAACTGTGCCAAACAGCCGCACACTACTGGTACATATTTGAATACAATGTATGATTAAACTAATGCAACGGTATTCATGTAATGTCTGTCTGTCGCTCGAGTGTCGTTCGCGCACTTATTGTGAATTGTTATAAAGCGACATGATTTTCATCGGCCGACCGATCCTTACATACCTATATACATACATATGTATATAGCACCTAGTCAAAGGTAGTACCGCCAACGGAACTGCATATGCAATGGTCGCTGCAACGCCGCCAGCTTGCCGTGGTCAGTCTATAAATACGCGTCGAGACAAAAGTACATACGAGCAAGAGACCGGTGATACGCGACCAATTTTGAATACGACTACGTATGTTGGTACCCAGAAGAAAAAGTTTTGAATTATTTGTCGCAGACGCCGTAACATGTTGGTTAGCTGCCGTGCTATTTTTATAAACAAACTGAATAATTAAAATAATAATGTAGTGCAAAAAACTACATACTTACATAGTTATGTTAAGCAAGATAATCGAAATTTTCAAACTGCGAAGCATGGAAAATCCAAAGACACACACACACGCAAATCAACGAACTGGATTTGTTTAGTGCTCTCAAGTACATACATACATGTGTATGTAAATAAATAGTGAGTTAGGGAGTTGGAAGTAATTGAGTTGTAGCGCAATGCCGCCACCAAAGAAGCCACCAATCCACGTGCCGAAGAAGGCCAATCCAAGTCTTGGCTACGAAGTGCTCATCTACTTGAATTCCTTCTATTTTGGAATGTTCGCCTGTTGCGAATTGAGTATGGGTCTGCTGAAGGCCATTAATCTTTCGTATCCGAGTCACGTTCTGGCACGAGATTCGGGTGTTTTGATTGGTTTTTGCATTTTAGAGACCGTTCGCATCATACTCGGGCGCAGAGGTTCACTAGCCGAAAAAAGTAAGAAGAAAATTATTGTAGTATTTGTGTATGTTTATTTGCAAACCAAAAAAAAAAGTACTCTCGTTAAAGCAAAATTGGTTCGAAAATTTTTAGTTAAGTATATTTTAAATACCTCGGGACATTTTCACAGTTAACTAGCCTATCAAATTTACTGAGATGCCTAGTTAATTTTAAAGTGTGCACAAGTTTGCCAACCGATTTTTTTTTTTTAACTTATAAAACAAAAACGTGTAAATAATTTAATTTTTGCGGATATGTAAGAAATGCTGCAATTTATAGAAAATATAAAGGAACTACCAAAGGATTGCAAAGAATAATATTGGTGCGATAAGACGAAAGATTGCACACAAACACTCAATGTGGAACCGGACGCACGAAAAGATCTCCAAAGAGAAGCGTACTAATTTAAAGAGCGCTTTAGGAAACGGAATACAGAACTAGGGCTCACTCTTTGAGCGAAAGTACGAAAATCGGCAGTTTTTTTACAACAAATATATGGCACCGTTATGGCGTCGTTTCGCACAAACGCACAGCAAAGCAAAAAAAAAAAGACGCTAGTTTTTGCCTTTCGCATTTTTGCATCAAAGAGTGAACTGCCTTAGAGATTTTTTTCTAAAATTCTTTAGTTCTTCATTTATTTATTTGTTTAACGTTTTCTGCTTTGATAAATGAAAAACAAACATTCCGCAAAAAAACCGAAATTTAACTGCACACTATTGTAGAGCTGAATACCGGTTAATTACCGTGGTAAATATTTTTTTCCTTGTAGTTCAGCCAAGCCAGCTCAAGAAACAGGGGTGTAACGTGCCGAGCCCCCATCCATGCCACGTCTACAAAAAATTTATTTAAAGGTCACACACATATATTCAAAATTTTAGTGGGGATCGATCGGCACTTTAAACATTTAATTTATAATGGTGTTCCCAACACTCGTATAAATGTTCAGCTCTATGCGAATTGTTGCAAGATTGCATGTCTAACTTGACCGGACTATTACTATGGATATCACTAATGTCACTTTGAACAACACGTGGATACATGGCGTATGAGTAACATTAAGGCCAAAAAAGGAATTCATTAAATTTAATAATCGATAACGTGGAAGTGATTAGTCACAGCACTGAAATTATTTAGATACGTTTTTTTTCCACAAAACGTGAAATAAACCATCAGTGATTGTAGCAGCGATGCGCTAATTGCCTAATTTGTTAATATAATTACCATTTCCTGACAAATTGAAAATTAGAACATTTCATTTGAGGGTACACCTAAAAATTGTACAAGACTGACTGGGCTACGCAGGGCCGGATTTAATTAAGCACAAGCTACATAGGCGCTAGCCTTGGGGTCCCGCGCCACATGAAAAATTAAAAATAAAGAAAGAAAAGAATTATAATAAAATTATAGTTTAAAAAACTAAAACCTCCCTATTATAATTGCCATTCGTAGAAATCGCCGAGTTAATAAAAAGAAGGTAAAAAGTGAAAAAATTATGTATTTACAATTTTTAAGAAACGAAGGAGGCACTGAAGGCGAGTCAATAAAAGACATGTTTAGTTCGTTTTTTACCCTAATCGAAGCGGATTCACATTAAAGTATAACGTAATTTAAGTACTGAATAGCTGATTTAGTCTAGTAAGCAAAGGAAAATGCGTCGCATTGTCGGGTCGACGGCAAGTAATGTGAGTATGCGTGCCACCGGCACAGCCATAGGGATCGGGTTGATACCACTCACTCCCGCGGGACACAGTTTCGACAGCTTTGATCTAAGTCATTGTGATTACAAATTTCAGTTGTGACTTTTGGTAACTTTTAAACTTTCTATGAGTATAAAGGCCCGTCTACATAGAACTTTCGCGTCGATTTGAAGTTCGCATCGCTCGTCAAAACAGTGATTTTTTCAACATTCAACTTTTCAATAAATTTAATTATAAAAATATATGATTTATAAAAAGTATTATTAAAGAAAATATTAAAAATGGTGGCTGTGGTGCAAGTGTTAGGTACATGGCGCAAAATAAGCAGGTGAATTAATAAAGCAGCTTTCTCGCCATGTGTTCTGTCATTCGGCTATATTATACAAAATTTTCAAGAAAAATTTTCAAATAAGATGGTGTCAAATCAATATAACAGAGCAATTCTGGCAACTGTCTTTCAACTCAACCCAGTCTTTCGAAACTTACGTTAATGTTAGCAGAAAATATGACATTTTTTGAGACATACGAAAACGACGTGGATAACAATTTAGGGAACGAGGTAATACACTTTAAAAATTTTTCCATGGTCACCAAATTTCCAACTTCAGACGTCCATTATGGAAGACAGGCTTTACTGACCATCGAAAATGACGTTTTGGGGCAAATAAACCACGATGACGTTATCAAAGACTTCATTAAAATGAAAATTATTAACACAGAGAATTGCAACTTTCTAATAGTACTAAGTACTTTTGTATGTTCGATAATTTTTTTTGTATGGAAAAAAATAATAACACCGTCCGCAAAAAAATTGCCATTAATAAACGCGGCTTTTTAGCTACTTCAAATTTGCACTTTGTTGTACTAAAATTGTAAAAGTGTATAAAACTCCATACTTGTAATTATTCAGAAATATCTGATTGTAAAGTTGCAAACTAGTATGCAAATGTAGAGATTTTATTTTTATATTTTGTGTTGTAGTATGAACTACTATACTAAAAAAAATGCTTAAAGAAACTAGAATGAAAAACTTTGCATACATAGTTTTTTTTTTTGAAAATTAAGCATTCTTAAGCCGCTTTGGTCTGATACCCATATTATAATAATACGGTATTTATCTTAACAATTTAATCGAATTAAAATTTTCAAACATGTGGCAAATATCTTCAAAAATATTTTTCAGGAAGCTGTCTTAAACTTCATTACAAGTTGTAAATTGATATCCAAATTGTAATACATATTACATGAATCATCCTGAGCTAATAGCGAAAGAATCAGAAAAATAATTATTTTATTTGTTGTTGTTTTTCTTATATGTGGAACTTTTATTTATCGTTGTATTTTCTCATATGTGTACCTTCTCTTTGTTGTTTTTTTTTTTTCTTATATGTAGAAGTTGTATTTGCTGTTGTTTTTTCTTAAGTGGGGTATTATATGGGCAGAAAGTAGTGCTCACATTTTCGACCATAACTCTGAATCTATTTGTGTATTTATCGGATAGCAAACAAACATAAATTGGTTTTTAGTAAATATGTGCATACCAATTTAAAAAAAAAAAAAAACACAAAAAAAGAATCGACCGTCATTTTGGTGTGCAACAATTCTGCTGTCGGCAATGGCAGTTCATTGTAAGTACACAGTTTCGGCAATTTGCCGCCCGGCACAAACGCAAATGCACACTTGCCCTAATAAAAATATAGGTATAATAGTACAATATCACTTAAATATAATAGTTTGGCTCGTATTATATGCTTAAAATATTTTGTGCAAAAATTTTTTTTTCGTATATCCTTCTAAAATGTCTTTTTTTTCTATATTCAGGTTGCCATTAATAATCTCTTTCTTTTTCTTATTTTACAGGTTGGCCAGTTATTTTATCGGTTTTCCTAACAGTTCCATGCTTTCTCGGTGTCTCCTATATACTCCTTCTGCAAGAATATAAACTACGTCTGGAATATGTACTTTGCACATTAGAGATCGGTTTATATCTGACCGAAATTTGGTATGCAATGCTATTTGTTTTTTCACTATGTCGTCCAGTAACTTATGAATAGGACTAACAAGGTTTATAAACATGTAAATTAAGAAAAAAATAATAATCAATGAAAGTATGTATAAATATACATTGTATATACGTAAAATAAAAAATAAAATAGAATCAAAGAATTCAATATGTATGTAAAAAAAATGTGAATAGATGCATACACTACAATGCAACAAAATACGAAAACAAATAAATGTAAAAAGATGAAAAATGAACAAATCATAGCAATATACAACAAAAGAAATGAATGAAGGAAAGGAGATCAAATAACAAAATTAAAAATTAATGTTTATAAAATAAAATGAAAAACAATAAATTATGAAATTAACAAATTTTTAATATATATACATAGTACAGTAAACATATGTATAGTATGTATGTATGTAAGCGAATAACTGTAACGCCAAAGGAGTATAATTTATATACTAAAAGCGGAAAATATGGAAGATGTGTTAACAAAAAAATTAATAGGCCCAAATATAAGACAACAAGAAATACTTTTCAGACTTTTTAAGACAATTTTTTTGTAATACAAACATACTTATACTAAATTAAGAGAAAAAAAAAACTAACGCTAAAAAGAGGATTTAAACAAGAAGAATGTCGACTAAAATTAAAAATATATGAAATGTAAATGAAAAAGTGTATATAAGATATTGAGTATATATTTTTTTTTAATCTAGCAAAAATCTAGACGTGCAAGTGTTAAAGTCTTTGGAAGATTTTTTTCGCAAAATTAATGGAATATTAATGTCGAATTGATTTATATATGCACACAACAAAAACAATTTATGTACATATGTACATAACGAACCCTAACCGCCAAAAAAAACGCAAGCGTCCTTTTTTGTTCAACATTTTCTTGATGACGCAGAAATGCTTCCAGAAGGTCTGTTTTGAAAAAAAAAAAAAATGTCGCTTAAGTTTTTTCTGCGGTAATGGCTCGATATGTAGTATGTTTGCATAACAAGAAACCAGTGAAAATCAATACAAATTTAACAATCTTCATGTATGTATGTAAACAAACTTACACACACATGTATGTACATACGTTTGAGAAAGCAAACAAAAACTTGCATAAATTCAATTTCATTCTAAAACAATAAATTATTCGTACATATGTATGTACATACATACATACACGCGTGGATGTATTTATATGCGTGTAAGTTTATAAACTTTAAATATTATTATTATACGCATATACAATGTATGTATATAGATATGTAGATATGTACATCGCTATATGTAAAGTCCCTAAGCTAAGCGAAAACTTAACTTTACACCAGGATATAAAACATTAGGCGAATACTCAAATATAAAATTTAAAATACTGAAAAATGCAAGAAATGCATTTACAAATCAACAAAAGCAACAAAAAAAAAGGAATTTAAATGAAATGTTTGCATATGCACGAGTAGTATGCATAAAAAGAAAATCAATTGTGTATGTACAAATGTATGTAGTTAAACACAAACAAGCGCGCATATATGTATAAGTATATATGTACATACATAAATATGTACGAAATGCATTAGGGCTTGTCACAACTTTTTTTTTTTTGGGGCTTACCCTCCCCCTAAAAGCCCTTTATTTTACATGATATTTTATTTTGCGAACTGCGGTAGACCTTTGAAACTTACCTAAAAGGTTTAGGAATTTTCCATAATATTTCGATTCTTGCAATTGTAACGATATCTTTAACGAGCGGATGAACGTCAAGGAAAATAGTTCCCATAGCCCTTAAAATTAAACTGACTGCATTTAGTTAAGTCGGCATGATTTTTGGAACCTATGCGGAACCCTTAAACAAAATCACAGTTATTAGGTACTTTATGCAACAAAGAGTTCTAGAAATGGAGAGCCAAAACAAAAGAAGTGTGTGGCACCCTAATGCACTTATGTATGTATGCACCTACACGGACACATGTGCAATAGTTAACTACACACCAGCAAAATATCCTAAAACGTATCCGAAAATGGGAAACAATTTCGTATACAAATCGGATATTCCATTCGTTTTCCGATTCGATTTCGTTCGGTCGTTTTTTCCATACGTTCTACCACTAAAGTGTGCATCCGAAATGTGTGTCTAGAAAGATACTGAAAACGTATACGTTTTTGGGTCTTTTTTTGTGATTTAATTTATCGCTTTCATTCTGAACTTCACAGATACTTTTTCGTAGTTACTGAAAATACTTTTTATAACATTTTAATATTTAGCTTCTGAGGGCGTTCGAGCCTTGCACCGCCTGAAAGCTAACGAATAGTAGAACGCCCCTTTGCATGCTCAGCTACTGCCATAATACGTTCATAGACATACATACATAAGTAACTTTTTCAAAAGTTAAGTTTAAATAAATATTTTCGACTTATTGTTTTAAATTAATGAAAATTTAAAACCTTTTCTGTACGTTTCCGGATACTATAAATGTACGAAAACCACCCTGTCGACAAATCGTACGTTTCTCTGCTGGCTGGGTAGTAATTTACTTATAAAATTATTTAATCAAATATTGTTGAATTTCAGAAATAATACTTTTGGCATGATTTGAATAGAATTTTGTGCTTCGAGCAAAAGCGTCTTTAATTTGTGGTTTAATTCGAACTAATTAGTGCGGAAGTAGCGTATAAAGGTTTAGTTCCTACTGGTTCTAGTATTGCTTTTTAGATTCCACTGTTACACCAAAAGACATGTGTATTAGGTTGGTTCGAAAATTCACAGGAAAATAGGAAGACAGGTTTATTTTATTTTGGAATCGGTTAGTATTTCACTTTTGAAGTTTTCCATAAAATTATTAGTTTGTTTTTTTGATCGAACTAGAATATTTTCCTTAAAAATATTTAACTTTAAAATTATACTAACTGCTTCGTCAATAATCAGCGTGATGTACTTACGAATGCTTAAATAACAGGTTTTTTATGTATATACGAGATAAGATTAGCGGTTTTGAAACAGTAGCCAGTAAAATTTTAAAATTGAGAATGCATCATGAAGGGCACGGTTATATATTAACCGATTTCAATATAAAAAATACGCGTTTCACTATTTTCCATTTTCTATAATTCTGGTGGGTGGCAGCAAGAAAATTTCAAAAAGTGGATTTTCCTGTATATTTTTGGACCACCCTAATGTACAAACAATTACCTACTTCCAAACGAATTTTCCTCATTGTTTTACATTCATTAAATTTTCAAAAAAATATACATATATATATTGCAACCTCTGAAGCTTTAAATATATCCAGCGCATTTAGGAAACTCTACTAAACCACGTCCAACATGCGCTTACAAAAAAAATTTAACGAATTTTTGAAATTCACATGCTGTACTAAACATAGTATATACGTATGTCCCCGTAATACAGTCACAAAAAAAAAGAATATATGCCTAAGTACACACTTTTGTATTTATGTAAATAGAAGAATGTTTTCGAAAACTTTTTTTTACAAAAAAAAAATTGTTTTATTGCAAATTTATCGATCAAAAACAGGGACCATAACGACAATGGTTTTCATTAAAAAAAATCACAATTTAATTAATGTAAATTAATTACTTTTCTTTAATTCATTTTTATTTTACTTTTTTTGTTTTTTGTTGTTGTTTGCGTTGAAATCACCCAAGAGTATGTAGATTTTGTTATACCAAAGAAATTAAAATGCCACTTATTTTCTGTGTCGAATTACAAAACACTGTGATAGTAGCTTGATTAGATTTCAAATTGGCAAGTGAATTCAATGCTTTTTATTTTTATAATTTTTATTTTATTTTTTTTTTATTAAAGAGCACTAAACTACAATGTGACTTATTTAAATATAAAAAAGTTAAGAAAAGACTTAAAATTGGAATTCAAAAAATGTTTATAAAACTAGAAAACAATGAAAAAGATATTGGTTTAATAAGTGCAACATGTCTTTAATAAAAAAAAAATTAACCAAAAGATAAATAATTTTTCAAATTGTTTTTCTTTTTGTAGAAAATAACATTAAAAAATTAGCGAAATTTAGTGAAAAACAAAATACGCTATAGAATCGTAGAATTAGTAGATATGTATCTTCAACAAAATCATTAGAAGTCTACAAAATAGAAAATCGATTTGCTTAGCATAACATTTTTAACATTTTAAATTTGTGATTTTAACTATTATTTTTATATAAAAAAAAATAAAAAAAGTAACGAATAGGCACACCAATAAATCATTTATTTGTATGCCCATTAAGGTGGGCCTTAAAATTTCAACATTTAAATTTTATATGCGGCACCCCTTTATTTTGTACTACGTACAAAGAAACTTTCAAAACTTTTAATAATTCTTTATGTTTGGCTGCCGGGGTTTGAAGAAATTTAAATTTTTTAAATAGCAAAAATTCGAAAAAAATGTTGACTTGAAATCTGATAAATATACATTCATAAGCTCGCTGACTTATAGCGAGTAAAAGTCAACATTTTGTCGAATTTACGCGATTTAAAAAATAAATTAAAAATTTTTCAAGCCCTGGTAGGGGCCCATGATGTTGATATTTTTAAGGACCACCCTAATCTACAATTGTAAATACATACACTCAACCATATTGATTCTGTTCATGCCAAAATATTCTGAAATTTCAACAAAATGAAAATTTGCATACCTAGTTTTAATAGCATTAAGGGCCTTACTTTACGTTTGTAAAACAGACAAAAGAAAAAATACAGCAAACCAACATAATTTGCTGCTGATGAATATTTATAACCAAACTATCGTTGTAAATTTTTAAAATTTAACATTAAACACAAGCTAAGAAACATAAACAAACATTATTCTATTGGTATAAAAAATTTTAGATAAAATTATTAAACAAAAATGTATGTACATATACATTTACATAAGTAAGAACATAAAATGGTCAACTAGTGAATTTTAGTAATTTATATACCAGCGTTTATATTTTTGTTATATTTTACGAAATGTTAATGACAAGATGAAACAAGAAATATTTAAATTGAATTGTAGATAATTTTTGCAAAAACGGTAGGCAAACCAAGGAGAGAAGAAAATACAAATCCGTACTAAACAAATTGTGACTCGCATGCGCACACGGATACTACGCTCACAACAAACACAAAACACTACAAACAAAAAAAAAAACAAGTGGAAAATGCATTATTATTATGTATGTATATTTTTTGTTCAATTATACATTCAAATGTATGTATGTATACACCCGAAAGTTTGAGTTGAAATAAAAAAAAAAAAATTAAGGCAAAATCCCTTTACAAATTTAAATTGCATTCGTTTTAATTTCTATTTAATGGTAAGTTATGGGTTAACTAATCATTGAAAACTCCCGTTATCTTCTGCAAAAAAAAAAACCAAATACCACTGTTAGAAGTAAAGCTATTCCACTACTGACCAAGTGTTTCGAGCTCTCCTGTCCTATAGCGTGGCCACGAACCAACCCCCAGCCGTGGTGTTTTGGTGAGCTTAATATTTTGGTCCACTTACATCGACGTCGCGAAGTCACGAAAGCGCTTCAACAAGGCCAAATACTGTCGATTTGAAAAGAGTTCGAGTAAACATAGGACTACATAGCTCGAAGACATAGAAATGTAGAACAAATGCAGCTCGCAAGGAGTTTTGTGAAATCTTACTAGGTTGGATGTGGGAAGTACTTTGTGTCCAAATGGCACTTAAAAAAGAGTCTGTTGATTTAATTTTGATGGATTCCATTCATCCAAATAACAAATCAGCTTCGTGTGTTGAGGCAAAACAATCTAATGCAATATGGATGGGGTGAAGGTTAGGGCGGGACAATTTTTTTTTTGTTTTTTACTATGCGCGTATAGTATAGCATAACAGGAGCATTCTACGAGCAGTTCTAAGAAATTTTTCCGAAGAAACCATGGGTCTAAAGCCAATTTATAGTTTGCCAAATTTCAAAAAAAAAGGTTTCGAAGAAAATGTGAAAATGTTCACTGTTGCGCCCTCTGGTCGAAGTTTTAAGGAGAAGATAAGTGCGAAACTGAATTCCTCATACCAAAAGAACCGCTTTTATCATGTTTTTCTACAAATTTTAAGCACTTCTTTGCGACGCTACAACAAAATGCTAAGAAGCCTATTTTCGCAATTTGGCAAACTCCAAATTCATTTTAGACCCATGGTTACTTCGGCAAATTTGCTTAGAATTACACGTAGAATCCCTCTGTGCTATACGCGTATAGTCGAAAAAATCTCCCCTACAAATTGACCCGCCTTAGTAAAAGAACTTGCAGCTTATACTACATATGACGCCTTTTGATCCGCTGAAAGCAATAGAAGCATCACCGAAGTACCGAAATCTTAAACCAAAGTGAGGCAGAGAATCAGCTCAAGGAAATCAGGGAAACTACTAACATCGATTTAATGGAGATATCCGAAGCCATAAATAAACTTAAGCCCATTGATTATTATTTCTTTTCTCTTTGTAACGAAACCTGATTAAGGAAATATGCGCCTTATGGCACTTACAATCGAAATCGATGTTTCCATGCTCGACGCAGACAGTCTGAGCAGACTAACACGCGAAAATACACAAGTCTTTTCAGACTGCCTGAAACCGCTGATGTAAGAGATTTTTCTATGTGTGTGTGTTTCAGACCGAAGTCATACCGCTTTTTCAACGTCTGAATTTGTTGAGGTAAACTACTACTCTCTTCCCCTTCTCGCCCATGAGAAACCGGTTTCAGGCCGTCTGAAAAAACTAGTGTGTCGAGGCTCAACTTATGGAACTTTCGGTAAGTAGACGCCACCTTAACTTCAGCTTACTTACTTTGCTTACGGGCTGTACACTGAGATATCATAGAAGGTGTTCGTGAAATCAGTTTGATTTTGCTCCTGGGTTTATATTTGTTTTATAATGCTGGTAATCTAAATCCCTTATAAGGGAATGGTGCGGATAGCCCTTGGTAAATTCTATAGCTTACTCGGTAAAGTTTACAACGTTCCAGTACTAGTCTTTTTCGCTATCTGAAAAGGTCAGCTTCTTTCCTTTTGTAGAAGGAGTAAGCCCTTCTTTTCTACCGAAGATACCTTTTCGTCTAGTTAGTGCTATCGAGTTTTGACTGCACCTACTTCAATTACTTTCTTCCATATTTTGTATTGAAATTGTTTTCAAACTCTTTGATATTTCGTCATTCCACATTTCATCTTTTAATCAAAAATCATCGCTGGATAACAAAATTATTGGACCTAAATAAATTTTTTTTGTTAACACTTTTTCAAAATTCTAAAAACACCGAAAATTTAACTATTTTCGGAAATCTAGCTCACTAAAAAACCTGTTAAGACAATCGCACATTATGAATTCGAATATTTGCAACACCAATGGTAAGTAACTCCATCATTCCCTCCTCATTTACTTCTTTCCACTGACACAATTTCTCTTCCAGAGGAAGAGATGAACGATAACGGCGAGACTGCATCGTCCACGACCAGCGGAACAAAGTCTGCCACTAGCTGTAAATCACGGCTGTGCCAAAAGCTAAGTTGGATACCTTCACCTGAGAAGGAGACTTACCGTACAGTGTTGGTCAATTATCGCTATGCCAAAATGGACAAAAACTATCCGCGCAACACAGGCGCAGTTTCGAAGAAGAAACACTGGAATCGCATGGTCGCGGCCATGAGTGCCGAACAGAACAACGAAAAAGAGGAAGATTATGATGAGGATGAGGATGCACCCAACTTGCGTAATCTCTACGATTGCTCTATAGAAGATCTGGCCTCCCATAAAACACCGAATACACCTGTGCCTTCCTATGAAAATATACATACGTTACAGAAGGAACGCGCAAAGGAAGCAATCAAGCTGGAGGTGTTTTGTTCGCCAGTGGAGCAAGAAGCCACAGTGGAGGATCCACAGCTGAATACGATTGAGGAAAGTGAAGTGGAATCGGCGACTCTACGTACTGATGATAACAATGAAGAAGATGTTAGCTCGCAAGAGTACTCTGACGAACGCGTATTGGAGTTATCAGATAACTCAACCGATACTACTAGAATGGCTGTACTCTATTCTTCATGTACCGATTTTTTGCTTCTGGGAGATAACGAGATCGGCGAAACGCCAGACTTTGACGCTGACTTTTGTTGTGCAATGACAAAGGACAAAGTGGATGGCATTCAGCAAACATGCATCATCAGGAATACGACAAAAGCGACACAAAGTCCTGAACGGCATAACGAACGTTTGCAAACGACACGAATATCGAGTTTGCGCGCCACGACTGCAGCTGGTCCACAGAACGATGAAAATTGCCTACAGCTAACAGTTGCGGAGATACCCAATGACTCTGACAAGTCAAAGTCCACACCGACACAGGGCGGTTTCCGCCAACGCCAACAAGAACTTCACCGTTATCGCATTGCAGTGGAGCAAAAACGTTTGGAGTTACTCGAAATGAAGTTGCAACGTGAACGCGATGAGATGCTGCGTGAACAAATACTCTTTGAAAAGGAGCTCGAGTTTAAGGCAACGCAACTGAGTCAACTCAACGATGATAAAACCGTTGACATATTGTGAGGTTATGAACGCTAGCACAATAAGGAACCGGAAATAGTGCTATTTAAAGGTGAAATAGTGAAGCTAGGAAAAAAATTGTCAAATGTAAATTAATAAACTTAAATATTTAGTGCGTTCCAGAACGTCTACAATTTGCAGGTTTAGCAGGATTTAGTCCAAAGTCGTTCCCGTACGCCATGTTCACCTAAGGTTTATTAAAGGCGAAAACAGCTGTTCCTGTAAAACCTGCAAATCGTAAAGTACGGGAACAGGCTAATAGCTGAAAATAAAATATTTTACATTAAATTGTAACGAAAATTAATAAAGTTTCAAATTAACATGCACCAACTGTTAGTGATCCAGAGGCCGTGTTTTAATGAAAAATTATGTGGAAGAACAACAATAATATATGTACATACGTATAGTAGCTCGGCCGCTGTGGTGTAGTGGTAAGCAGTGCGCGTCTTCACTCATCAGCACCTGGGTTCAAGCCCTGGTCAAAGCAACATCGCAAAAAATATAGAAAAAGGTTTTTTCTTAACAGCGGTCGTCCCTCGGCAGGCAATGGCAAACCTCCGAGTGTATTTCTGCCATGAAAAACGGCTTCTCATAAAAATACAATCGCCGTTCGGAGTCGGCGTAAAACTGTAGGTCCCTCGGCGCTGTATGACAACATCAAGGCGCACGCCACAATTCGGAGGAGAAGCTTGGCCAAACACTAATATATGCGCCAATCTATTATTATTATTACATAATAGAAGTTATGGGTGCTATCCACACCCTGAACAACATCCTGAACAGCCCTAGTCTGATATCCAGTACTCCATGAACTTACAGGTTTTAACACAAACTAGCAGGAAGTTACAGGAAAAATGATCCCGTAGTCCAAATTCCTCCAAAATCTGAGCGATTTTTAACCCTAGAACACTAACGTTCGCCTGTGAGGCGGAACGAATTCGGTTTTCTCGCGATAGTTCAGGAACGATTTTAATGATCAAAGTAAGCGTTCACGCCAACTCAGTTTAGCACTGTACGAGGTTGTTAGCAGGCGCACATTGTACAGTGGCCTTGCGCGGCTGAGTTCCACGCCGTCTTGACGCCTGACAGGCGAACGTTAGTAGTAAAGGTAATTTTGTTTGCTCTACTTATTTCAGTTTTTAACATGTATTTTCTCTTTTGAACTAAATTTTTTTTTACTTTTCTAGACGGGTACCTATGAAGAAAAAGTTCTAAAATGGTTGGAAGAAATATCATTGAATGGAAGCGATAGTGGGGACAATTCGGAAGAATTATTATTATTAATATTAAAAAAATTATTAAATTAATTTATTTTTTTACTTTAGAAACATATGAAATATATTTAAGCCCATTTTTTTTGAATTTAATTTAAGCCTCACAGGCAAACGTTAGTATTAGAGGAATAAAAAATAAGGTTAGTATTCTAGGGTTAATAGCATCTTATACCAAATTGAATTTATAACTTTTTTTTAATAATCGCAAAAAGTACTTTTGATACCATTTACACCATCGAAAAAATCCACCACACCTCTAACTCAAATGCAACCATGCGTCAGGTGCGCCTTTTGTTTTGGTTTTCCCGCCTTTACTTTTAAAATTGTCAGATTTTATGCAAGGCAAGCACTGCAAATTGTAAATTATTTTTATTCGTGTGTTTGTGAAATCTTTTTACAAATTTAAACAAAATATTTATTCATATTAAATATAACAATATGGCTGACTCTCCAAGTAATCACTGCGATGAAAATGATAAAAAAAACTGTGTAAAAAGTATTCTTTCTCGGCAGGTGAACCAAGAGCAAAACGGCAACGCGTGGACAAAGCAGGGCGCTTCGCTGCGCTGGAACGGCTAAGGAACCTGAAAGGCAGCAAGCATAAGTATGAAGTTAAAGAGGAAGTGGACGATGTGTACGAAGTGGTGGATGAGCGTGAATATGCGAAGCGAGCGAGGGAAAAATACGGGAATGATTGGATTGAGGATGGTAAGCACTACATACTTATGTATGTCGTCTACCGCGCTTCATTTACTACTTCACTGGCGTTGATTGATTTGTTTTGTAAAATGTAGATGGTACTGGCTATGCCGAGGACGGACGCGACTTCTTCGAGGACGAAGACGAATACTCTGAGGAAGAAATTGATGATAAAAAGGACAAAAATAAGAAAAACAGTAAGAAACGTCCACGCGAAGGCGATAAGCCAGTGAAGGGGAAAAGTTCCATACGCAACCTGTTCAGTAACGCTGTTCCAAAGAAAACAAAAGTAACTTCGTTGGCGGAAGATAACATATTGGCAGATATTTTAGGTGAAATGCATGGAAATCCCAAGAGTTCTACTTCGAATGGCATTAAGAATGCTTCAGAGACTGAAGTGAAATCAACAGGTGTTATAGCGCCTGCCAGGATTGTAAGTAAATCTACTAGAAAATCAGATGCCGCGCTTGCCAAAGAGTATATGAATAGTTTCATAAATAATATTAAAATGTCTGAACCAGTAAAAAAGCCCGAGGAAGCCAGTGATGATGAATTGTTAGACCGTATTCTCAAACCGAAACAAACAGTAGCGAATAAAAAGTCTGTAGAAAAACCGAAAGTCAAGGACGAAAAAGCAGAGGCTGCAAACCAATCAGAAGTACAAGTGGCGAGTAAAAAGTCGGTAGGAAAACCGAGATTCACGGACGAAAAAACAACGGCTACAGAACAGTCAGAAAAGCCAGTGGCATTTAAGAAGGCAAGTGTGGTGGTGACTGCAGAGAAGCCAGTAGAGCACAAGAAACTCGAAAAAATCGTAGAGAAGACCGCACCTTTAAAAGAAACAAAAACGCCTGAAGCTGATTTTCCTGACGATGATATGGATTTCAGTTGTTTGCAGAGCGAAGAAAATCGATTTGATAAAGTTGAAAGCGTATCGAAAAAAAATGCAGTTAAAAAACTAACTTTAGCCCCAGCTAAAGATGCTGACGACTTGCAGAACTTATTAAGTAACTGGGAGCAAATATGTCAAATGGACAATTTTGAAGCAGAAAGTGCAAAAAGCGAAAGCAACGCATCGATGGGTACGAGTGCGCCAGACACCTTAAAATTCTGGTATTGGGAAGCTTGGGAAGATCCAAATAAATGTCCGGGTGAAGTTTTTCTTTTTGGACGCACCGCAGAAAATAAGTCGATTTGTGTGCGCGTGGAGAAGATCGATCGCATTCTGTATCTGCTGCCAAGAAAATATGTGAGCACTAGAAAAATTAATACTTTTCTATGACAGCAATATTTTTCATTTATTATTTTATTGTTAATACAGTTACTAGATCCAATTACGAAAGAACAAACTGGTAAACTTGTCCAACTGAGCGATCTTTATAAAGAATTTGATGATGACATCTCCGTCGAGCTAAAATTGGATGGTTTTCGCTCACGTAAAGTTACTAAGAACTTTGGTAACCATTCAATCGGCATCGATGTACCACAAGTTTGTGACTACATGGAGGTACGACTTATTTTAGTTCAATTTATGCAAATAAAGAAACTGATCTTTACTTACAGATACATTACGACGGCAAGAAGCCTCCACCAAATTTAAAGAAAAAATACAACTCGATTGCACACATATTCGGCGCTAACACTACTGCAATGGAGCGCTTCCTGCTCGACAGAAAAATAAAGGGTCCTTGCTGGTTGACACTGAATCAATTCCGTGCGAACCCAGCACCTATAAGCTGGTGTAACACTGATGTTAGCGTCAGCGAGCCCAAGGGCGTCACACTTTCCGAAGATCCAAAACCACAACCACCACCACCACTTACGCTCCTCACGCTAAATGTACGCACTGCACTCAATCCTAAAACTTTGAAAAATGAGATTTGCATGATTTCCATGTTAGTGCATAACCGATTTCACATCGATCGACCTGCACCGCAGCCGGCTTTCAACAGAAGCATGTGCGGCTTTACACGTCCCGTGATGGCCGCATGGCCCTACGACCTCAAAGCAAAGTTGGCACAATTCAAGGCAATCAATGTGGCAAAGCACGACAACGAGCGCGCACTGCTAATGTGGTTCCTGGCCATGTACCAGCAAATTGATGCCGATTTGATTGTAACATTCGATGCTATCGATTGTCAATTGGACGTGATAACCGATCGCATCGCAACACTCAAAGTGGGGCAATGGTCGCGTTTGGGTCGTGTGCGCTTGTCTGCGTACACTAGTGGACGCAAATGGCTCGAGCACTTTGCCGGTCGGATGGTATGCGATGTGAAAAGAACAGCATCTGAGGAGAAAATCAAGGCGCGTTCATATGATTTGCAAACGCTATGCCAAGCAGTTTTGGAAATTAAAGAAAACGAACGAATGGATGTGAACGATGAAGATTTATTGCAAATGTTTGAAACGGGTAAGACTTCTAACAATGGTTAAAATCTGCAATGTCTCTATGTAAACGTTTTTCTTTTCGCAGGCGACGGAGTGCTGAAACTGGTAACACTGACTATGCAGGACGCTGCTTATGTACTTCGCATGATGTATAAACTGGATCTGTTGCCTTTGGCACTACAAATCACCAATATTTGCGGCAACACCATGACACGCACGCTGCAACATGGACGTTCCGAACGCATTGAGTTCTTGTTGCTACACGCCTTCACTGATAAGAACTACATAGTACCTGATAAAAAGAAGCGTGAATGGAGCGATAATAACAACACAATCATTGATGGTGAGGTGAATGATACGACCGCCGCGGCCGCAAGTAGCGGACGAAAAAAAGCAGCTTACGCTGGCGGCATGGTATTGGATCCTATAGCAGGCCTCTATGATAAATACATACTACTGATGGACTTCAATTCCCTGTATCCCAGTATAATACAGGAGTATAACATATGTTTCACCACAGTGCAACAGCCTTATAACGCTGAGGATTTGCCACAATTACCTGACCCCAGTATAGAGCTTGGTATATTACCCCAGCAGTTGCGTCGCTTGGTGCAGTCGCGTCGCGAGGTGAAGAAGCTGATGGCCAAACCAGATGTGCCTCCAGAGCAGCTCAAACAGTACGATATTCGTCAGTGGGCGCTCAAGATTACTGCGAATGCGATGTATGGCTGTTTGGGTGCGGGGCATTCGCGCTTTGCCGCACAGCATTTAGCTGCGCTAGTAACGCACAAGGGCCGTGAGATACTGTTGAATACAAAGAGCTTGGTACAAAAGATGAACTACGAAGTGGTGTACGGTGATACCGATTCCATAATGGTGAATACAAACATACTGGACTACGATCAAGTGTTCACAATTGGCAGTAGTATCAAGCAGAGCGTCAACAAAATGTATAAGCAAGTCGAATTGGGCATCGATGGCGTCTTTAGTTGCTTGTTGTTGTTAAAGAAGAAGAAGTATGCCGCTGTGAAAGTGGACAAAAACCCGAAAACTGGTAAGTTTGAAGTCACCGAAATCAAAAATTAATTATACTAAAGCATGTAAATGTAATCAATTCTACTTTTAGGTGCACTGGTTAAAGTGCAGGAGCAAAAAGGTCTTGATATTGTACGCCGCGATTGGTCGCAGCTCGCAATTATGGTTGGGCGTATTGTGCTCGATGAAATCCTCTCAGAGAAACAACTCGACGAAAAATTAGATGCAGTGCATTCACATCTCGAAAAGATACGAGGACAAGTCGAATCAGGGGCTGTGCCTTTGCCGATGTACACTATAACAAAGCAGCTTTCCAAAGCGCCAACAGAATTCAATAATGCTATCTCACAGCCACATGTGCAAGTAGCGCTGCGCATGAACTCAACACGCAATCGTCGCTATAAAAAAGGAGACATGGTGGACTATGTTATATGTTTAGATGGCACAAATAATCCGGCCACACAACGCGGTTATCACTTGGATGAGGTAAAGTCCAGCGAAACGCTAAAATTGGACACACAATATTATCTGGCACACCAGATACATCCGGTGGTGACGCGCATGGTGGACGTGTTGGAGGGCACAGATGCAAGTCGTGTGGCCGAGTCATTGGGTTTGGATCCGAGCAAATTTAGAGCCGCTGCACAAAGGTAGTGTGATGATTAAATTTATTTTTAATTTTTCATTTCATATATTTTTTTGTTTTTGATAACTTCTAAACCCAGATCCCATCAAGAACGCACCGAAGATACAACTGGTGAATCGCTTGTAAAGACTACCTTACAAAAATATCGTGAATGCGATAAGTTTAAATTTGTATGCATTGCCTGTAAAGCTGAGAATATCGTCGCAACCGCTTTTCGCCCGAATGCATCAAATTCATACGACGCAGTGCTACAAAAATGCGCTAACAGTGATTGCAGCACTGCCCCTTATCAGTACATAGTAGCCATACGAAATCGCTTATTGCTCAGTATACGCTCATACATTAAACGCTTTTATCAAAACTGGCTCGTCTGTGATGATCCATCATGTAATCAGAATACACGTTTCTATACGCATGTGACGACGGGAAATCGACCCATATGTCCATTCTGCAAAACTGGTTCGTTAGTTCGTCAATACTCTGAAAGGAATTTGTACCAGCAGCTCAGCTACTTTCAGTATATGTTCGATTTGAGCAAATATCAACATAAACGTAAGTGTGAACGAATTGATAAGTAGTTGAACTATTGTGTTTCCTGTTGATATGGACAAACGCTTTTAATTCCACTCTGCTCTCCATTCTAGACGTGCCACTCACACCAGAAACAGAGGCCGCCTACCAAACGCTCGTCGACACGGTGAATCAGCAACTTGAAAAATCGGCCTTCTGTACAATATCCCTGGGGAAATTATTCAGCAGTTTCAAGCCGCTTGAACAGAGTGACGAAATTTCGCATAAGAAAATCGAGTTTTCACAAATGGAAATGCAAGTGGCCACTAGCCTTGACGACAATTAAGTTTTTAACAATATTTTATTAGCGGGCTAGTGTTGACCTAAGAAACGAGAGTTTTAAATTTTTTCTTAAATAATTACTGTATAAAATATTTGTAAGAGAAAGTATTTTAACATCAATACTTGCTTTGTAGAAACAAAGAACAAACACAATTTTTCTAAACATGTATTTTTTTTTATCTTTTTCCTAAACCTAAACTAAGTGTTGTATCAAACATAAACACTTACATACATACATTTTATAATCATGTAAATCAACTAGCACACTAAAAGTAAGCCAACGAAACAATAGATCGTATAATACAATATGTAACAACAATTCTGATAACAAATATTTTAGGCACACAAACACACGTGACATCAACTTAAAAATTTCGCTATAGGAAACTTGCGAAATGATTCATTGAATATGTCGGTAAATGCACTACTGACCAATTCATTTATAATAGGCTTAATAACGGGGAAGCCAATAGGCCACATGCTATTTATGACACCATCAGCAAAATTATCCAAACGCTCCCGTCCCTGTGCTAACGCATTGGCGACATGCATTTTTAAGCCACCGATCCGATCGATTTCCACACGTACTTTCAACAACGCACCGGGTGCACCAAGCCGTCGCACGCTAGTCGTCTGACTGTAATCGTATAGTGTCATATTCCAAAAGCCGCTTCGCTTCACTTGTGTGCCCAGTATTTTACCAGAAAACTCATACCAACCTTCTAAACTTTTTTCTGGAAAATATTGGGCATAGATGATGCGCTTATTCGCATAGTCTGTGCGATATTTAGTAACCTCCGATTGCGCCCAGCCGTATTCGGAAATGTTGCGCAAAATTAGTTTAAAACCACCGAAGCCGCTTTGATCGCCGCGTCGCAACTCCACGAAAGGTGAACGATGAGGATCGAAAGGTTTAATGTGGTAGGCGGGAACACCTGAGAGAGGAGTGAAATGTTAATATTTGTTAGTAAACATGCAAAAAAATATTTTTTCGTCATCATTGCCAAAGACTGTGGAGTAGAAGCAAAACCTTTTTTTATGAAGTGCTTTTAGGCTTCAAGAGGTCGTAAATTTTGAATTTTTAATGCCTTAAGGCAATTACGGTTTGAAAGTTTGCTTTACGAGTTATTTTTCCGTCTGGACATGGCGAAATTGAATTTTCTTCATAACAAATTTTATTACGTACTAAAATTTTTAGTTTTGTGCTGCATAACTAGATTTGAATTTATTCGGATAGAATTGATTTACATAACGACTGCCCTTGAGAAATGTATAGTTATTTAAAATATCTTCAACGATATGTTTTAATACTTGACAAGGACGAACATTTTTATCAATTCAAAATCTTTGCCAAGTAAGTAATAACAAGCTTCTTTTCGCGACCTAGTCTAGGGTACATCTATGTATGTATGTAAATCAGTGCCAATTATTAAATTAAACATAAATACATAGAGCACTTGGTAATGATGACGATGATTCCTTGAACTTTTTTTTTTATCATAATTTTGCTTTTGCTTTCGCTCACCAGTCGGAAAATAGGCGCGCAAATCATTGAATACCTCCTTCATGCAATCATCAAATTCGGTGCTGCCCATTTTGCACCTGCCCAACAATCGTTGAAAGTCATCATCCACTGTAATTTGACCTTGTGCATGTGCGCCGAGTCTCGTAGCTGCGCAAGTTATTACAATTACCATTAAAATGCATTGCAGCAGCAGCTTTGATATGATTGAGAGTAGTGAAACGCGTCTAATGCGGAGATCAGGTTGCGCATGCGCAGCAGTTACTCTACTCATGCGATTACTGATGACACGGTCGCTGCGGCTGTAATAACTATTGTTGCTACTAATGTTATGTCTAATGCTGTTGGACATTGAAGATAATTTGTGTATTTTTACAAGCTTTTTTTCGACTTTGTATTTGTAGTAATTTATGTCACACGCTAAATTTATTTTAGGCAGTGGCTATTACTCTGCTGCTGGAAGCTGTAAACAAGTAGTGCAGATTAGATTAAGTAGAAAATAGCTCAAGGAGATGGAAGTGCATATCTGTGGACTTTTGAACAAAACAGCTTCTGTGCTTTCTGTAGGTTTGAATTTAGGCTAAAATATAGGGAACTGCTATTTGATAATTTTACATTTTAATTGACTTTCATTATGGTAGCATCTTAAAGTACTCACATTAATGAATAAAAAGAAAAATATGTATAATATAAGAACTCAAAGGATTACTGCTTTGCAGAGAAAATGACTGCGTCTAGAGAAGTTGTTTTGCCAAATGTCGGCAGATACATAGGTACGCGACAATTTTGGAAGTTTTATCTATTTTTCTTTTGTTTATTTAATATTTATTATTTTATATAAAAGTATAGCTCATTATCTAACAAAAATCATATAAATTCATATTCAAACTTTGTGCAAAAATTATAAAAATTCTGCAAAATTGTATCTAAATTTTAAACTTTTTAATCAGACTTTTTGAGCATGCAGTTTTATGGCCCATTAAATTCTAGTATGATAAATTGCAATTTTGAAGTCACGTTGATTTTTGATAATTTTTTTTCTGACTTACAATATATCATACCAAAAAAAAAAAATATAAAAATAATAAATTGCGTGAAAAATTACCAAAAATCAACGCGATTTTTTAGCAACTGAAAACTTTTTTTGTACATACATATGTATGTTTTTTGTTAGATAATGAGCTATACCTTTATAAAAAATAATAATCATTTTAAACAATATAAAAATAGACAAAACTTGTTAAAATGTCGCGTCCCTATTTATTTTTTCACCACTGCTCTGCATGGTAATTTCAAAGGTTTTTCGTTTATACCTGATTATTTTTACATATATAATAATATTTTTTTACCTCGCACTTCCATTTTACTTTGAACTGCATATCAAGCCCTTACTAAGTGAAAATGCTCGTTAAAAAATTAAAGTTTGAGTCCTTGGTGCGCAAACGCAAAGTAGGTTAACGTTGGCAAAGCAGATCTAATGAAGTATTTGTAAAGCGGCTACGCATTTCTTTAGCGCTTAGCGTGAAAATTGCGATTGCGTAGTAAGTGGAATACAAATACATGCATATATATTCGCTGTTGGCGCATTTGGTTTGTTTATTGCACACTTTTGTTTGGTACACTGTGCACACATATGTATGTATTTGCATAACAAATAAGTTTTTAGCGTATTTTCGAATGTTTAGGAAAAATTGCTACATAATCTGAATTAGTACTATTTTCCAGGAAATAGTTTTCCATCTTCCGGAAGTATCCCCTGAGGCTTCGCAACATTGAAGAAAACTGAACAGGTCAGAAAAGTAGTCCCGATTCTGGATAGGAAATTAATTTGAGGACCTAATCATGATAAAAGCGTAAAAATTGGGGTCTGGAGCACAAGAGCATGGCTCTATATTGCTGGTGGTAAAAGCGATTCTTTTCCCTAAAGTTGTAATTTGGAAGTATGCCGGCAAGAAAAACGGTAAACACTAAGAAAACAGGCAATTTTCAGGGGTCTGGCTGCTTCCTATAACAGAAGCAAAGAAGACGACAGCGGATCTTTATGCAAGAAAGACGTGACGAGACTTAACGTGACTAAGAAATGAACGCATCTTCATCGTTCACTAAAAAAAATTCGACCGACTAACAGCACCCAAGTTTACGACCCATACGACTCGACGCTCGAAAATCGACAAATATGTTTCGTGTATTTATTATCTATCTTTTTAATTATTATTATTATTATTTATGTACATACATGTGCGTATATTTTTTTAAGTTGTGGAACTTTATAATTATGCATATATATATATGTATGTATGTACATTAGAGTGTCTCACCATAAAAAATAGCGGTTTTTCCACCGGAACTATACAATTTATTATATTTAAAGACTTACAAACTATACATAACACACTTCCAAACAAACATCTTTAAAGACTTAAGTTAAAATTTTTTGTAAAAATATAAAGATTTACGTGAGCTGGAACGATTTGAAAATACCTTAAAAATCAAGTTCCTATTTATTTCGAAAAAAAATCACCTCAGATGACAGAAGCGTTTAAGCCTAAAAGGTCTGCATAAAAATCTTTGAAAATATTATTAATGGAATCAAAATAAAGAGATTTTTCGAAGTATTTTCAAATCTGTTCAGCTCACGTAAGTCTTAATATTTTTACGAAATATTGCGACGACAATCTTAAAATGTAATGCAATTTATAATTCAGATGGATAATAGTACCGATGATGATGATTTTTTATTTTTTGTATAGAGTGAGATGCACCCTAATGTACAAAGTTTTCAATTTGAAGTAGTCGAATTCTTTCATATGGCTCCCAAAGAGAAGAAATAAATACTTCCTTACTTAGAAGTGATTTACAATCGAAGACAACGTGCGACACAAAATGCATTTCTAACAGACAGTCATACGTAAGCATACATACAATCATAGTCAAAAGTTAGTATACATCTTGTTTTAATATAATATTCGCAATTATTTTCACGAACAAATTTGTTCATAATTTTTTTTTTTTTTTTACATGAGACGATTTTACAGGCAAGTTTTAGTTGAAAGCAACAATCGTCTGGTGTAAACGGCGTTTCAACTAATCGCTTCTAAAATTACCTGTGAAATCGCCTCATGTGAACACCGTTTAAAATAAACCATATAAATCCGAGTTTCACACTTTTAACAAAATTCACAAATTTTCATTAAAATTTTAAACTTTTTATTCGAAGTTTCACGCCGCTAAGAATTCGCGTTGATCCATTGTTTTATGGTAGAAAATGCGGAACACCCTCCTTAAAAGAAATTCTTAAAAGTTAACGGTAATTTTACTGACTTGACATTGGCACTTTGTTGTACTAAAATTGAATGTGCTGAAAAAAAATTCATACTCAAAATTTTTTTTAAAATTCTGAATATTTAGAACGTTTGAATTTTTTTTATGAAAAGTGTAAAACTTTGATTTATATGGTTTGTCTTATAGAATGCACTATATTTTCATAAAAAAAATAATGAAAAATGTTGCATGAAAATTATTGTGAATATTATACTAGAACAAGGTGCATACTAACTTTTGACTCTAACTGTATGTATGTACAATATTTGCGTAATGCCAACACATAAAACGGCGAATGCATTTGCCAAATTGTTTTACAATTATTATATATTTACATACATATGTATGTATGTATGTCAGTGGGCATGCACAATTTCATAATTTCTTTAACTGCAAGAGATTGCCACACTGCAACAAAATAACAACACCCATTCTAGTGGCACAAACAAACATACATGCAAATAATTGTTATTTTGCACCAAACTTGTATGTACATACATACGTCTGTATGTATGTACGTCGAAATTGCACAAAAGTAAACATTAAACACTTCAAATATAAAAAACTTTTCTATATTTTCTGCATTGGCGTACCCCAAGGTGTATTAAACAAGGTGGTGTTGGGGCGACAGCTGAGTTTTTCGCCGTGGAGGCCATTACGTCAAAATGATGTGTTTGTTGTAACTCATACCAATGACAGTATGGACATCAGCGTATAATTTGTTAGTGTAATTTTTTACTTATATACGGCCAACACCACCTTGTTAAATACGCCTTGGCGTACCCGTTGTATTCCCGTTTTGCTATATCCAAAAACAAACAGCGCTTTTGCTGAAATCGAAAACGGCTTGCACGACGCTCAACTGGCTACTGAACGTACTGGCAGATCTATTCATGTGCATAAGCGCCAAAAAAATCATCGTAAATACATCGACTAGGAGTAGTTGAGAGGAAGATGTAAATGCGAAAAATCAAAAAAAAAAAGTCAAAAAATAAACTCAGTCATAATTGTTGTAGTGTATATACATACATTAGACCGTACCAGAAAAAGATATCGCTGTAAGCCCCTGAGTCTAAAGTATTTATTTTTTTTTTTGTTCCAAAGTTTATTGACCTCAAGTACACCGTTGTAATATTTGCCACCAGATCTCAGTTCTTATAACACTGACGTACCACCCTAATATCAGTAAATTAAAGACCTCCAAAAATCTTTAAACTTTTGCTAAGGTAATTTTTTTTTAGATTATTTAAAAAGGAGTTGTATTGCCGAAGTCGACCCCCAAGTTCGGCAAAAACAAAAAAAAAAATCGAAATTGCCTAGCAGAACACCTTAAGACTCTGTTTGTTTGTAAAGTGGCATGGTCTAATGTACATACATACATGCATTTGTAAAAAAGTACTTGTGCAGAAGATGCGAGCATGGTATGCACTTAAAAATGAGCAAGAAGAGGGCTTTGCATGTATATACATACATACATACATAAGTACATATCTAATGGAATGGTAAAGTTTTTCAAGTACATTAGTTTTTTTTTGTTAGTTATAGGTAACAGAATTCACATCTAAAAGCTGCGCTTGAATTTGAAAATGTAAAATTTTTAATTAATTAATTTAATGTTCTTAATTCACTACTTATGTTTGTGCATACATACATACATATGCATTATATGATTAAAAATAAAAAAAAAAACATTTTCTAAGTTTCCTGAATTTACTCGCACATTTTTAAACAGTATACATTCATATACATACATATGTATAAACATACACACATTTGTACATACAAAGTGCGCGTACATGCATATCATCCATTTTTAGCATTAGGCTTCGCTTCCCACAGTTATGCATACAAATTATGATCGATACAACAAAATATGAACTGCGATATATTTACATACATACATACATACATACATACATATTTATGAACGCGTTTCAATGTCAATGAACATCATTTGGATTGACAAAAACAAAGGCTAGTAGTAACAAAACTCATGTACAACTTAAACTACCTACGTATGTATGTATGTGCGTGCTTACATAAATACATATCAAATAAATTCGACCAAATGGTACTTAGGAAGTATTATAAACTTTGCGGAAACTAAACTGTTTGCCAAATGAGGTGTTGTGAGCTAAAATATACAACTTTGTTTTCCAAGGAGAAAGCATCGAAAGCCGGGATCGTTATGGTGTTCTTGACCGAAAAAAATAAATTTCATAATATAACCGTTAAAATTGGATTTCAATTTTTCCGATCAAATATACCCGTTATTTTATGATTTTATTTTTTTCGGTCGTTATTTTTAGATTTTTATTTTTTCGATAAATTTTTGATTTTTATTTTTTCAATCATATGTACTACACCGTGCGACAAAAACAAAAAATTTCAAAACAGACGAAACAATCAATATACTCACGTAACAATGGGCCAAATATAGTAAAGCTACCTTTTTAATTTTTCACACTGACGTCAGGATTTTTTTAAGAACTTTGAAATTTTAAAGACATGATTACTTCAAAAAATTATTTAAAAAAAAATCAGTAGAATTTACAATAACAATATGGGTACCAAATGAAAGAGAAAATTCTGTAGAATCGAAAACCATTAAAGCTTTTTGGGCATTTTTTTAATTTTAATTTTTTAAATTAACAAAGTTTGGAGGTCGAAATTCGAGGATGTAATCGTGTATATATTAGTCCTTAATATATAATTTTTTCAAAAACAAATGACAAATTTTCAAGGATATTCGGGGATAAAATTTGAAAACGAAAGTTTCAATGCGTTTACGCATTTTAAAGAATTGCCCTATTGTGTGTGTAAAATTTACTGTCGCACGGTGTTATAATCGTTATTTTTCCGATTTAATTTTTTATATAATAAAAATGTAAATCGGTTATTAAAGCGAAGTCTCTATCATACTTAACGGTTATAAATGATCGAAAACCCAAAATAACGGTTGGCTAATTCCACATGGTCCCGAAAGCAGAGGCGCTGATCAATCAAGACGTCGAGATATTTAACATACATATATTGGTATCCGCTATTTGCCTTCCACCTTCTTTCGACTACTAATAAGAATGGCTTCCATCGCGTAGGCTGCAGTTCAAATCAGGGCCATCACCGAATCCATCGTAGTCCGATTTTTCGTGTTCGTAGCAATTCGGGTTCAGTGATCGCATTTTCGTAGATTTCATGAAAATCTGACTACGATGGATTAAGCGATAACCCAGAAAATTATTTCGCGCTTAACTTCTCCTCGGCTGCTTTTATGGCTTTCACTCTGCGATGATTACCAATTTCAAGCAAGCGTTTTTACTGTAACGGCGTTACACACGTCGTCCGTGAAGGCTTAATATGAATATGGCCACTTTAGCAACTGCGAGTCGTTGTTCCACAAACTAGGACCTTATACTGATCACTGGCGTACAGCCGCCATTACTTCATACACCACGAATCCATGGTCGCGGTGGTGGCGCAACACTCTACCGCTCGCTGAGGTAGCTGGAGATGATTTTTCGCGGGTAAATTGGTGCCTTCAGGCTACAAAGTGCTTTTAATATCAGTTGCAGTTAGGCGCCACCTAACCAGCGCTTTCCATCAATGGAAGCCCGAAAAAATGCTCATATTTTCTTAGTTTGATACTTTTTTTATTACATGTATTTACGGAAATTATTCGTGATTTATTTATTTTAATTTATCTTTTACTAGATTATCGTAATTTTTTTACTATTCTTCATTCATTCATTGCATTGGTATTATTTTAATAAACTTAACATCTTTTATTACTTTTAATTTCTTTTTAATATCATTTTGGTTATTTTACTTCAACTTTTGCCTTGTTTATTTGGTTTCTCCGATATCACCGTAGCATTTAAAGTAGTCGGCCTCCACATATAAATATGTATCGCTTTCCAGCGGCTTACAAAATATACATTTATGTACATACATTTGTGCAGTTCAAAGCAGCACAAATAAGTTATGAAAAAGTCAACCATGACGACCGGCGACAACAACATGCATACTGTCATATATATATATATATATATATATATATATATATGCATAAATAAATGCATATGTATGTATTCACTACATTCAATTATTTAGCTGTGACACCAAACGCATTGTGGGAAATTCGTAAGCAGTCAAGTTCGTAACTTAAGTCTTTTGTTTACTGCATGCCCAAGTACGACCTAATGCGCGCATAATTTGGCTTTGAATAATTCTAATTTTTACCCATTTATCAACTCTTATTGTCTACCCAAAGCCTCTTTTACAAACTGTTGTCAATTCGACCTGATATTTTTTTCGCTTAATCAGTTTTTCGTCACCCACTTGTTACATTCTTATTTATTTTGTGCGCACATAAGTACACAAAATTCGTCAAGGAAACCGCAACAACAATTAGTTAAACTGGTATTGGGTATGCAAGTAATTCGCAGCATCATCGTATGCTGCTCTAAATGGGTCAAAATGAGCTAAAGCGGCATTGACTAGCCAACAGGTCGTTGCACAAAGCACAGCAGTAAGTTAGCGAATGGTCATATACATACATATATCTGGGTCGGACACTGCAACACAAAACACTCTACAATCAAGGCCCTGGGTAGAAATAGAAAATATGTAAATGCACACGAGTTCTGTGAAGAAAATAAGGCATACTTTGTTTTGAAATTATTCAAATCAACATTTAATCAATATTTTATGATTTTTATTTTTTCGCTCAAAAATAATTATTGTTATTGATTTTTATTATTTCGCTCAACGTAAATGATTGTTAATTGATTTTTATTTTTTCGATCGCAAATAATGATTATTTTATGATTTTATCTTTTCGCTCAGAGATATAATAATTATTATTGAGTCTTATTTTTAAATTTAAAAAATAATGATTATTTATAAAATTAAAAATATCTTACAGATGCAACTTACTGAAATATCGACCTGAAAATTTTGGGACTCTGAAAAAGAGTACGTCGGAAATTACGCTGGTATAGCTTTTAAGTTTTCCGAATGATCATTATTCTTAAGTGAAAAAATAAAACTCACTAATAATAATTATCTTTGAGCGAAAAAATAAAAAAAAAACCTAATATAATCATTATTTTTGATCGAAAAAATAGAAAGTCAAGTAATATTAATTACTTTAGAGCGAAAAATTAATACTCCAGTATTAATTATTATTTTTAATCTTTATTGGTTAAACTCGAAAAATAAAAATCATTGTAAATTACAGTAGGACGAACATACATACGTACACAAATACGTGAGTATAGATAAAATTGTTTTACGACGATTTTAACTTGTTGTTTTTTTTTTTTGGTTAAAATTTAAAAAGTAATGATTATTTTCCGTCCCTGAATTAAAACGGTCAAATCCGAGAAATGTATTGCCCAACCAAGGAAGAATGAATTTATGCCAGCATTGAACTCCGTAATGACTATTGGTTACATAAGCACTTGCCCGCTTTGTAGTTGTTTTTGCAGAGATTAGTTGAAATAAGAAATTCAGGCTGAACGAAGGTTTAGCTGAAAACATAGGCTCGGGCTTAGTGATAGTAAAAGCACGGGCTGACTTATTTATTTTATTTATTAGGAGCCAAAAGCGATGTCTTCCAAAGCGAACAATTATATATATATATATATATGACTACGGAGCAATAAGGGAGTTTTTCGGGTGAACTGAACAATGAACACTGAAATTTATAGACAATTTTGTATTTTTGGAGTAATTTATCATATCGAAGGAAAAAATGTGGGAAATAAATCTTATAGAAAATGTAAATATGAATTAAGATCTATAGGTATGTACATTAGACTGCATCACTCCCCATACAAAAAAAAAAAATCGGTACTGTTTTTCCATTAGAATTATAAAATCTATTATATTTAAAGACGTCCACCAAAATATTTCGAAAAAAATTTTAAGATTTAAGTGAGCTGGACCGATTTGAAAATACCTCCAAAGATGGAGTTTTTTATGAATAAAAATAGTTTCTTAAAGATTTTTTTTGAAAAAATACTCTCAAAAGACAAAACGGTTTAAGCTTAAAAAATTAGCGTAAAAATATTAAAAAAAAAAATTTTTTTAAATTTTGGACGGAATCGTAATGATGAGATTTCTGATGCTGTTTTCAACTTTTTTCAAAGATTGCTATAAGAAAAACTTGAATAACTGAGCCTAAACTCCCCATTATCATTGGAAAGGTATTTTCTCGCCCATTTTATTTCTTTGCTAATAAACTCATTCAAAGGATGAAAGAGAAAGGTAGGATGAACGAATATCATTCAAAGTTGAACTACGATGTGTTGATATTTGAAAAAAAAAAAAATATTGGGACAAATTACTTTTTTTGCACATAAAAAAAAAATAGTGGGAAAATACCTTTTTACCGAGATCCCATAAGTCTAAATTAGAATAGTTTTGGCCCAGTTATTTAAGTTTTTCGTAAATCAATCTTTGAAAAAAGTAAAAAAACAGCATCAAAAATCTCATTATTACGATTCCGTTGAAAAGATTTTTAAATATTTTTATGCAGAATTTTTAAGCCTAACTTGTTTTGTCATCTGAGGGGACTTTTTTCAAAAAGTTCGTTAAGAAACTATTTTTATTCATAAAAAGCTCCATTTTTGGAGGTATTTTCAAACCGGTCCAGCTCGCTTAAATCTAAATATTTTTCCGAAATATTTTGGTGGACGTCTTAAAATGTAATAAATTTTTTAATCCCGGCGGAAAACCCGCAACTTTTTTGGTGATGCTGTCTAATGTACATACATACATACATACATACATATGTACCTGCTGCAATATTTGTGTAAATCATTTTTTTAAGTCAAAATGTTTTTCAGAATGCGAAAAGTTTCATTCACCACAGCATCTTAGACGCCTAGATCTAGGGGCTGTCCTTTCTTGTTCGGTATTCAAAATGAACCATTATTTCATTGAAATTCCAGTATATGTTAAACAAAAGAAATATACAAATAGTAAAAATGCAATTGATATAATGCATATAAATTAATCCTTTTTTATTATATTTGTTGCCTTTAAAAATGACTGGTTCAATATCTTAATTGAATTACATTTGGTTTTTTTTTTTTATTTAAATATTTTAGTAATGTTGTCTACTATTCATTATATTGGTAGTTTTACATAAATTTTTTAGAGTTTTCTAGGAAATAATTATTAACGTTAAGGGAACAGACATTAGGTTTGTTCGTCGAAAATCCAGCAAGAATTATCCAACACTCAAAATATCAGAGTAAGAAAAAATTCTCTCAAATTCTCTCTCATGTTGAGAAACTTGCAAATTTCTGCACGAACGCAAATTTGCAGGAATTGCAAGTTTCCCTGCCAGCTGGCGTCCACGGTTGCATTTCAAACATAAAAATTTTTTATAGAATTTTTAAAATTCGTTCGGATGGCCAAAAACAGGATATACATGTATATTTCTTGTTGTTCTGACTTTCTTTAACATACATTTCAATTTCTTCATCGTACTAGCTGTCGGGTTTCTTAAATCGACTCTGGTTGCAATTGCATTCCGATTGCGAATACCATTTTTTTCAGCCGAATTAAGTTCAAATCATTGGAATTAACTAAATTAATTATATCAACAATTATTTACTTCCTTTTTCATAAAAAATCGCTCGTGTTTATAAATTTTTAAATTTAATCGAACTAAGGGCCGGTTACTCAATGTCTGGTTAACACTAATGTCCGGTTAAACATTTTTATCGACGTATTCGACTCCATTCATATAACAGGGAGTCGGTAACGTCGATAAAGATGTTTAACCAGAGATTAGTGTTAACCAGACATTGAGTAACCGGCCCTAATTTATTCAAATTATTGTAGACAAAAATGCAACCATGCGCCACAACCACATGTTTTTCGTGTTTGCAAATTCTTGCTGGCAAAATTTTTTCCAGCAAGAATTTGCAACTTCTCTCCAAGAGAACTGTCACTTTGCTCTCACAATTTTTGAGTGTTGGATAATTTTTTGGTCTGCACGAACGCGATATGGGCAAAAATCGTGATAATTCGTACAAATTCGTACAAATTTTTTGCTCGACGAACAAACCTATTGACTTTTCAACCAGACAGCTGGTTACTTTGACAGCGTTCCAAGCCACCATTCGGCCAAGCAAGTTTTCAAAGTAAATCAAAGCAAATTGAAGTCAGCAAGGCGCGCCTTAACGATAAACTTAAATTTTTTATATGAGAATTGAAGTCGGCTTAGTTTTTTGGCCTTGGTTTTTTGCTTAAAAATTACTTGTGTCATTCTAGTTTCTTTGATTCACTTCATAAATATTTCTTTGCAGGTAGACGCGTAAAAATATTGTTTGGAATAGCAAATATTATTTTCTTGCACGTTCTGACACAATGAAAAAACAAAGGTGTTTTGGTAATCATTGTTATAATCCTTTCGCAAAGGATCGTCACAGCTCTTCCAGTGGTTTAAGAACGATATCAGCAAATTTGAAAAACAAATATGCCAATATTCCACGCGAGGCAAAGCTATGTGCATCATGCAGAAAGGAAATGTCATCACTTTCTTCGATGTCCCCTTTGCAGGAATATGAATCAATGGCAGTTAATAATGATGCTGAATTATTCATAGTTGGTGACGAAAGCGAAAATGCAGTCGATATTGATGATTCTACAGAAGATGAGCTTTATCTGCCTCCATCTTCACAAAAATCGCAAAATGCTGAGGAAATTAATAACATACCTAGGGTTACCAGACAAACATTTCACCAAATGTAAACAAACAAATACACAACAATTTCCAGGACAATGCAACAGTGTTGCCACTCTTTAGCTTATTTAAATAAAGGTGATCTAACGAAATTGAAATTACATTTAAATAGCAATATATAATTAAACTTAAGTGCCATTAAGCAAATTGCCCCCTAGAAAATTAGCATTGCTCATATTTTCAAAAATATTCGCAAAAATATGGCGAAATTGGAAAAATCGTCGTATCGATAATATCGTTTTTGAAACATCGATATATCGCACTAAAACATTTGTGGCCTTATTCATAAAAAAATAAAATAGCTTTATAATAGCTTTATAAATTGAAAAATGTATGAAAACGTCAATGTGTAAATTCTTTAAACCTACTTTATTTTTTATGAATAAGGCATTGGCGCGTATTCATAGTCCAGCAACTAAGTCGAAACTAATAAAGTTGCAACTTAAATTTAAGTACCAACTTAAAATTTACCTCTATTCATAGTCGCATTTCAGACTTCTACGAAGTAGTTTCGACTTAGTTTACGATATAGCAAAACGAGTGTGAAAATGTATCGAGTTTTCTTTACGATATTTTGGAAGAATCGCATTTTTATTAAATAATGTCAAGTTTGATCATCCGTTTATGTAATTTTTATTTTCATTGCATGATTATGCAAAAGGTATCATTTTCTTGTTAATTAAGTGAAATACCCAGAACAACCCCAGTGATGTGAAGTCGATGTTTATCGAAAGCATGCTGTGAAACATACAAATAGTAGATATCTAAATGTTATGCACAAATTTACTTTAAAAGAACTAGCGTGAAACTGACTTATTATTTGAGAATTTATCTAAATTATTCCAATTATAAAATTGTGATGTAGCTTTATTCGAATTGTAATACGCATTTAATTTCATCTTCCGATTAAAATGGATCGATCTTTGTAAATTTTAATTGGAGATTATTCAATATTATCAAAATCACCCTCTACCAACTTAATTTTTACATATTTCGTCTGTTTTCCCTTAATTTGATAAAATACTTCTTCCTAGTTACGACTTAGTTGCAGTTGCAGCCGAAACTAAATTTTAAGTTGGTACTTAGCCAGAAAAGTCGAAACTAAGGCGACTATCAATAGCTTTAGTTGTGACTTAGAATAGTTTCGACTTAGTTGAGTACTAAATATGACTATGAATATGCGCCTATCAGTTGATTGTCTGTGTTTGCTTTCACCACACATTTTTGGTGAACTTTTTGTGACTCTCTCCTTCTGAATACCCAAATCGTCTCAAGTCACAAAAATAGTCACTAATTGCTAATCTCAAATTTAGTGACTTGAGATGAGACAGAATTACTGAATCCCAGAGTTAATCCTCTAAACCGCACTGCTATTGGAACAGACTATTTATTTATCCTATAATTTTCACCTTATTTAGTCTGTGGCCTGGTGGAGTTCGAACCCCGCTAAAGAACGCAAAGCAAGGCGAATTCACATGAATTCAGATGAATTCGCCTTGACTTTTGGTCGAAATACATATTTACATACATATGTATGTATGGCTTAAATAAGTACATATATCACTCCACCGTACTGATCAAGAAAAGAGTCAACATTTTGGCCACTGTTGCAAAATCATACTGGAATCTATTTGCAACTGTTGTAAAACTATCGACATTTAAACAAGTATTTTTGAATTGATGCAATGGAACATATAGTTGAATTTGTTACTGCGGAGGATGACTATGCATCAGAGAATTGTAAGTAAAGGTTATCAAACCTTTTGTATGGTAGCTAAAAAACTAATCAATGTTGTAGCTTTCAAATGGGATAATAAATCTATAAATATTTATCTGAATGCATATATTGAGCGAAAGGAGCGCTTCCGGGACCCCAAAGAAAAAAAGAAACTATTATGGAGGGAGATCTTACAAGTTATGCGCGCTGCTGGGTATGAAGTGGAAGATGAAGATATACTGGATCGTAAAATGCGCAATCTTAAGAAAACGTATAAGACGGTACAACTCAATGCCAGCAAAAGCGGTAAAGGTGTGTTTCATTAGACTGATTAAAATTACTTTCACTAAAATTATTGATTTATTCTATTCCAGGACGGGAAAGCATTTCGTGGAAATATTTTTCAACAATGGACGATATTTTTGCTTGTGAATGGCCTCAACCATCACCAGACTCTGAATCCGATATAGCTTCCTTTTCGACAGAGCCTGGGAGAAGTGTAAAGGTTGAGCAAACTAAACGGCGAATTGGAATTGCCAAACCCACCAACTCCTTGAGCTTATTGAGAAGAAAACAGCTAGCAATAGAAAGAAAGAAACTAAAGGCCTTGGAAGATATGCACGAAACAATGAAAAAGTTTCTTGATAACCGGAAAAAATCGCTTATAGAGGATGCTAGCGGTGTTTTTGGAGACTATGTTGCGGCAAAACATCGACAATACAGCGGCCCCGTGAAAAGTTATTTTGAGTTTGAAATTGCTAAAATTATGTTTAATGCCGATACAGGAGTCTTTGATACGTAGATACTAGTTGAAATAAAATAATATATAAGTAAGAATGAATAGTTGTTATGTATGTACAGGCAGTTCCTGCAATTCACTTCCAAGTGAATATCAATAAATTCGTTTTGAATTCAAATTGGCAGGGATTGAAATACACTTGGAAGTGAATTGCATAACCTGCCTGATAAGCTCTAAAAATAGGTATTTTTATTAGTGCTAACTCGGAACCCAACAAACATACATATCACACACAGTCTTCAAAAGAGTCACAACTCGAAATTTGGCATTTTCGAAATTATGCCATAAAAATGTTCACAGAGCTTTAAATTACCTTTCCACAAAAGCTGGAGCAAATTTGTTATAATTTGTTTAAAAAAACCTAAGGTAAAGTCGCACGCCTAGTTTTTTCGCCATTCTGACGAACGTATTATTTTGAGTTTTGACTCTTTTGAAGACGGTGTGCGATATGCACATATATGATAAAGCTCCCGCTCTGTCCCCATAAGAGTCCCATATTTTAGTTTGCAATTAATTTTATGAAAAATTATTCTTAAAAAGAAGAATAAAAGAATGTGTTTTTTTCTATTTTTGCAATTAATGGAATAAATATGACTATATATAAACTCAAAAATTTTAACCAAATGAACCAATTTTTTAAATGATTACAAAGTAATTTCTGAAATTTTCCAGCGCTAAGTGTAAATGAAGTATTATAATTTCATTGTGATCTAATTGTGGCAAAACAGAGATCGTAAACGTTCTCTGAAATTACGTTCTCCGGGCAAAAGGTGCCATTTTTTTGACAGCCGGTTGCGCGCAAATTTATCTTTCAATTCATGCTATTCGTCTCTTTTTGGTGCAGCTGATGTTGGTATGCTAAACAAGTTTACAGAACGAAACAACCATATAAACTTTATTTTCACAATAGAAATTGAGCGGCATTTTTACCAGCAGCAAGGAAAACGCATTGATATTTCACTATACACGCAAAAGGAAAAGTGAAGTCGTCTGTTGCAGTTGTGTATTTAATTTTTATACAAATCTATTTGGATAGTGCATATAGAGATCACCTAACATCGTTTAATACAAAACACTAAAATATTGGAGAAATTAGAGGTGAGTATATCACGTTTTTCATTGGGGAAAATTTTTGGTGTTCGGATAGCTGAGTAGTGGCAAACAATGGATTTTATTCCCCTCATGATGATTAAGCTCTAAAAATTGACATCATAATTTTGCAAATATACCTAGCGATATATGCATGCATAAAAGTGAGGGTTTACCGTCTTAAGTTTGAAGCTAGCAGAGATATGGTCGGTCCGCCCGGCTCCTCCAAGTTAATCAAGAGGGTTAGCGAAGGAGGTGAACGAACCTTTTTTACATAGTACAGTAATATGCAATTTTGTGATTTTCCTCTACTTTGTCTTTATGTACGATGGAACTTTGTGTGTGTGTGTTCGCATGTTGTGCATTGACGCCTCTGTACACCAGCGCCGCGGGTTCAGTAGGTAACCATTCTCCGCAGCTGCACTTCATTGCGCGCCTATTTTTTCATATACTATACATATGTACATATATGTATAAGTATATATTTATCTACATCCCTTCATTATACCAGTATGTACGTTGAGGCAACAAATTTTGGAATATGCGCGGAAAATTGGGTTAGGAAAACCCACGATATTGCTAAACCCGTATATATATATGTACGTATATGTATGTTCGTGAGCAAATATTAAATGCAAACATGAACAAATCCTAAGCAGTATTTTTCTAATAACGTTCCCTCGACAGGCAATGTTAACGTCCGAGTGGTCTTCTGCCATGGAAAAGCTTTTCGGATATACTGTAAGTACCTCGTACAAACACTTAACCGAAATGTAGCCGCCAAATATTTTTTTGTATACCTACCTGCGTATATACGTTAGTGGTATAATGACCTTGTACAGGCCGCTCGGAAACACGTTTTCTTACAAAATATTCGTACATACATTCAATATTCCATTGACTTTTATTCTACTTGTTGTCAGCATCTGTTTTGTCGCTTATTCAATTACTGGTACTTACGTTATTGCTGATTTATTTTTATTTTATTTATTTTTTAATACATATGTATGTATGTAAGTATTTACAAGTATAGATATGCAATCCAACGCATTGTAAAGTTCATTCCCATTTACGAAAAGTGAACGAACTTTGTGTTTAATTGTCAAACGACTTGAGCATTTATCCCATTAAAACGTAAATGTTTTAAAATAAATGTATACTCTCATATTTGCTAAGCATTTGAAAGATATTTGGGTGGTTCACAAGGTGTCGTACATGTCGTATTGTTGTATGTTGTAAAGTTTTTAACGGCTAAATAAATGTTTAGAGGACTTGAAATCACCACCAACTATTTTTTAATTGTGTGAAATTTCATAATAAAACTTTTATGTTATCTTGCGAATTCCTTAAATAGAGTTTTAGCCGTTTAAAGTATAGTAAAGCAGTATACAACACCTTGTGAACTCCCTAATTGCTTTACAAATTGTAACAGCGATTCTCGTGATCCTAGTAAACTCTGGACCCGACAGCGTACAGACAGGCCCTGAACGGCATTCACAGGGACGCAGTCTCGAGTTATGTAGACTCTAGACCTGTGAATGCCGTTCTAGGCATACCACCCCCGGACATTGACGAGACAGAGCTTCATCTGCCTCGGGAGACACGCACTACACTTGCTCAACTTCGCTCCGGCTACTGCAGCAGGTTAAACTCCTACTTGAGTAGGCTGAATGAGGATGTGCCGAACGAATGTCCGGCATGCGGAGAGACCCCACATGACTCGAACCATCTCTTCGCATGCCCGGAAAACCCGACAACCCTAACGACCCTGTCCCTGTGGACAGATCCCACAGAAGCTGCACGCTTCCTAGGGTTGCCGTTAGTGGAACTTGACGACAACGACTGAGATACCAACCGATCTGGGCGGGGTTGTTGTAGCCGCTACAACAACAACAACAACATCCTAGTAAACTTTTGATAGACATGTATGGATGCTGTCGACTAAAATATAAAACCATAGATACATATGAACATACATACAGGGTGTCCCAGAACTCAACGTCAAGCCGAAACGGGGTGACAGGATTGATTTTAACCATCATGAGAAAAATCAGAAAAAAATCTATCCCATGCAGTTTGAAAATTATGAGCATTTAACAAAAACCTAAAAATTTGGTCAAACTAACCATTTTTCGGTTATTGTGTTTAATTTTTTATTATTTTTGTTCATTTAAACTTTGGAACCTTAACCCAAAATAACATTTCTAGAACCTAAATCAAAAATTATGACACAAATGCCCCAAGTTTTCTAGAACTAAGACTATTTGTTAAACTATGAATTAAAATTTTTTATAATTTGTCGCCTTGAAAGGCCCTCCTTTAAAAAAAATGTACTAAAGTGCCTTGGCAAGTGCCATTAAAAGTTCGCGCATTTAACCAGGATTGTAAAATGGTAAAATACTTGTTAGTTTCATACTAAAAAAAAACGAGAAAAAAAAATAAAAATCTCAAGTAACCCGATTTTTGCTAACCCATTTTACTCAGTTCAAGCACAAGCTCTTGGTAGGTTCTTAATTTTACGGCAAAATGATGAGCAGTGTTGCCGCGAATCATTTTTAGTGGTAGCCAAATTCCTTTAAAAAAAGGGCTAAAAAAGAGCTAAAAAAGGTCGTTGTGGCTAAAAATGGTAGCTAAGTTTTTTACTTACATATACATATATAAGTATACTCGCAAACATTTTCAATAAGTAATGATATGGAAAAACAATGAACTCTGGAAAAAACGCTAATATATTATCCTACCAAAAACCTTTTTCTATAAAAGGGGAAATATACGACACCAGCTTGCTGGCTCGATCAAGTGATTGTACCATCAGGCTCGCAGCATATAACTTACCAGCATGCTGGTACAATATTTTTTTCTTTACAAATGAAGTCGAGGAAAAATCGAAATGATTAGAGCCGAAATTTCATAATTTTTCTACCATTTTGTTAAACATTTTTTTCACTACTGCAATATTGTGAACTTAATCTTCCATAAACACGGCTTTGACTCATATAGTGCAAGAAATTTCCGCCAAAATACTTTTTACTTAGAAAATTGAGCTAATTTGACCACTCACGACACCAGCATGCTGGTACAATCATAAAATTTTCAAATAGTTTTTGAAGTCGCACCAGCAGCTGGTACAATCACACCATGAGAACATACACGGTCAATCGACTTGCTGGGCCATTTAACAAATTAAGCATATTAAGGGCCGGTTATTCAATGTCTGGTTAACACTAATCTCCGGTTAAACATAATTATCGACGTTAACGACTCTCTGTTGTATGCATGGGGTCGAAGACGTCGATCACGATGTTTAACCGCAGATTAGTGTTGACCAGACATGGAGTAACCGGCCCTATGGGCCGTAACCTTATCTATTTTAAAATATAGTTAAATCGTTAATAGATAAGTTAACAGCCNTATTAAGGGCCGGTTATTCAATGTCTGGTTAACACTAATCTCCGGTTAAACATAATTATCGACGTTAACGACTCTCTGTTGTATGCATGGGGTCGAAGACGTCGATCACGATGTTTAACCGCAGATTAGTGTTGACCAGACATGGAGTAACCGGCCCTATGGGCCGTAACCTTATCTATTTTAAAATATAGTTAAATCGTTAATAGATAAGTTAACAGCCTTAACACTTTTACAGTACGTATGTATAAAAAGGTAAGGAACATACAATATATAAATATATACAGTATATAAATATCAGTCTTTCATAGTTTAAAAATTCATCTCTTACATAAATGAAAAAAATAGGACAAAGTATGCATATACAACTTTTTCATGCCAAGTATGAATTCTCCAAAGGGCTAGAAAAAGGGCTAGGGGCAATTTTAAATTTATGTGGCCAAAAAAAGTAAGTGGTAAGTAAATCTAGCCACCAAAAGACTAAAACGGCAACACTGGTGATGAGAGAGATCCCTGCAAGAACAGTGACTATCATTTGACAAATCATTTGAGTTGCAAGACTGATAGAGATTTCTGTCACTGGCTACCTACAAGTTTCTATCAAATTCTAAAGGGCAGTTTGAAAAATCTGATGTAAACATTTGTGTACAACTTACGGCCTTATTTAATGGTCTCTTTTTAACCAACGCAAAATTTGCAAATGTGTTAGTAAGATAAATGAGAATGGGTTAGTTTCCATCACACAATTCTTGTGGGGATGTATAGTGGACATGATTCAATAATAGTAGCGTTCTTGTACGCGATAGTTTGTACCAGTTTGTACTAACTATCACGTTTTGGTGTTCTTGTACCCAAAACACTTGTAAGAAAGGGAAAATTGAGAGCGCAAATTGACATTTCTTTCTGAGGAGAAGTTGCTAGTTTTTACTGGATATATTTTCGCTAGTAAGAACTTTCATGTGAGAAAAACAGCTGATCGCATGTTGCTGGGTGGAATTAAAACTAATAAAAGAAATGTTTTGAGGTTTTCATAGTTTGAAATTGACAAAATGAGCCTGTTTAAATATAATATATATTGTTTTAATAGGAACTAGCTGCGAATAAACAACAAATTAATCAGCTGTTCGTAAAACTTGCAAATTATTACTGGTTTTGCGTTCCTGTACTTTTATGCTATGAGAGCGAATTCTCAGAAATTAAGTTACTGGAGAATTACTGGCAAGTTACTGGATAATTTGTAAAAGAAACTGACAGTTGTCTCTCTCGCACCGCTCCCTTAGCAGTGGCACCGTGTTGCTTCTTTGCAAATTTACATGGAATCAGTGTAGCTTTGGTGTGAAATAAAAGTATACGTTTTTGTGCAATATGTTTATTTGGATATGCATATGAAGCATATTTAACTGATGAAAACATAAACTGTTTTTAAATTGGATGTTAACATCAATCTCATAGTAGTCTTTATTTTGATTTTGAGTCATTTTGCCGTTTTTATACAGCTAAATAGCACATAGATTACGCAATTCACGTTGATATATCAGTATTACGTTCAACATTTCGTTTAAAATGCCAGATTTCCTGCAAATAAATTAGAATTTACAAAA